TATAATTTAGCAATTGTAGGCTTCTCCATTGTAGGTCTCCTATGCATATGTTTATCAGTTAAGCTATTTTTAAACATGGGATATCAAGCATTTTAAATACTTAATAAAATGGGCATCTTGTGAGAGCACATGCAATTGCAATTTCCTTGTTAATTACAAATAAAATTGTCCAAGATAAATGGAGCATTCAACCAAGAAAGGATTATTTTATGGATTTTGAAGTGCTATCATTTTCTTTTCCTGTGAAGAGTTCAACAGTATTGTTTTTACATTAATTAATTTTTATTGTGTGTAGCTTCTAATTATAAATTTGTATTTGCAACAATTTATATGATAGACTAGTGATGCTTTTATGTGAGAAAAATCACATTTTTCATCTGCGAAATGGCTATATAAATATTATCACAATGATAAGATTGCGAAGACAAACTAATTGGTGCAACTTTTTTGATTGGCATGATTTAAAACGTTTTGTTAATGTACTTTGATACTGATGGTCGACTGGTTGGAAAACAAATTCGTCACTTGGGAAGAGAAAAATCTTGTGGCAGTGCAAAAAACCCATACAAAAATTAATAAAAATATTAATTATCCCAATAAACTTGTAAACCTTTAGATGTGAAATATTATTCACCCAAACCATAATTAATGAGAGCCTGAAACTATTAAGGGGAATGTCTGCTTGTTGATGGCATTGCATTACAAACCTCTAAGAGGGACTGATTATATTTTTGATATATTTTTAAAGTCTAGACATTTAACAAAACTCTTGAGATTTGACTATATCTAAGAAGAGTGCAATATAATTGATTAATAGGCAAATTGAGAATTTGGGTCTGAACTATATTGATTGGGTTATATTTTAGTCTTCAGAATAGCGTTACAATCTTTCTCAGCAGCAATAAACACTAAAAGGGACTATACATTATACATCAAAGCTTGTGAATTATCTCATAAAATAAACATTTGTATTCACTAAGATGTATTTGTATAAGATTACCATTATGAAGTGAAAATATGATAAACAATGTTGATGTATCTTTATCAATGAAAATTTGTTTTAAGCCCATTGCTTGGTATGATAATTCTATATTCAAGACTGTGAGCTTTTGATGCTCAGAGTTGCCAATTTTATTACCTAGATAAAATTCCACTGCTAAAAATTGAGCTAAACTGTGTTCCATCTATTTGGATCTATTAAAAAACTTCTATGTATAGTTAAACTTCCAACACGAAAACTGAAACTTTCAACGGAATTATTGAAGGTAGTGCAACACCAGACTACCTGATCCATCAAAAAGTATTTTTTCTGAATGTATATCCTATAAACAGATCTGTAAGTGACTTTGAAAAGGTTCCAAGAAAATAAGTAAAACACCCTGACCCAAAGTATCTGCCAAACATGCACCCCAAAAATAAGCACATTGTTGAGCTGGTAGTCCACGTTTAAAAAAAAGGTTCTCATAAATACTAGTTATTTTCCACATCTTTTCCGCTATATATAAAATGAAAAAATACAACCACTTTTACAATTTTTTTTTTATTTAAGATCATAAATCCATCATTTTATCGCTCTAAAATGTTTTATTAATGATACTTTAATTTAGAATTATGTACAGACCATAAGATAAAATAATTTTTAACTGAAAAGAGTCAGACACAGAATTACAGGATTTAAGTGCAGGAAAGAATGCAAATTTAAAGGTTCTAGTTGGATGCGTTGCAATACTTTTTGCGGATATGATGGTTTTCTTTTGTCAATAAGCCGGTCTGGTGAATTTTTTTTTTTTTTGGTGGTAATAATCAGATATTCTATACTAATTTTTTTTTATTCTGTTTTCAATGATTACATGATAATGTTAGGAAAAACTGTTTTTCTTTATTTTTCATATCAAAAACTACCACCAAAAGTATGTAAGAATAGTAACTAAAATTAGAAGAGTAGTAATGATTTGTAATCTGCAGGTTTTAATGCTTTACAGATAATCATTTTTTTAATTCTTAATATTTTACAATAAACTTACTGGAATTATCTTGTAGAATCAGGTGAGTTACTACTGTAAATTCAGAGTCAACAACAAAAATCAGCGTTATTCAAAATTTTCACAGACTAGTTCGATGTTTTACCGAACCATCAGTCGCTGCAACCCAAAATTCATTATTCGAAGTTTTTTGCGGTTTGCAGCTGAAGATGATGTTCGGTAAAACCATCGAACAGTCCCTGAATTTTGTAATATAAGCTGATTTTTGTGTTTGACTTCTGATTAGTATTTATTCGGCGTGTTATGTGCCTTAATTATATCGTATATGGAGTAGCAGGAAACTACAGGAGAAGGGTCAGTACCCTTATTAACCTTTAAAATTTACAATGCGCAACTGAAGCGAAAAAACTCACCTTTCCTTGGCGGTAATGAAAGTCCATTAATTTAACTAAATTTGAAATATTACAAGTATAACTAACTACAGGCCAGTGAGATCTGTAGTCAACTCCCTTCTAACTAGTGGCGCAAAGCAATGCAATATAAGCCACTTGAACCAGCAATAAGCAAATGTACCTACGGCAGAGACAGCAGCTAGAGCCTACTTCCTTCAAAATAGAAAATTTGCATTCGTTCACGTGCGCTACAACATTTAACTATTCTGGTACTGATAATTAAGGGAATGAAGGCTCATAGGAAAGTTTCAATAAACTGTAATGGTACTATTCGGTTTTGAGGGCCGTAATCCCAACTTATTGTTAATGCCAGCTGCCAAAAATAATTGCGGCAACTTACTCAGAAAGGAAGTATATAGTAATATTATCTAGATTGATGTTTTAATTTAGACGTAAGGTTATTCATATAATACTTTTTTTATTATTGTATTATATAAAAAGGCTACAGACTGAATGGAGCTAAAGTAATAACTATTTCAAGCATTATTATCTTTATATAAATTTGCTAAACATAACTTAATGATCCATGCATGGTTTTCTCACGAGTTATCGCTAACGATAGTGTCTCCGTGGTGATTAAAAGAATTTCTGCAAGATGTTACCTTTCTTTGAAAATTCTCGCTAACGTGCAAAATAGCCCTTCTTTGTTTGCCGCTTTTTAAAGCAACACAGCAATGGTAAAAACAATTGTTTTGTCATTTTCTTTTGCTTTTAAATGAAAATAGGCCAATGTGTACATGGATACGAGTATGTCAATTCTTAAAAGCTTTCAGCAGTGGTGATTCTGCACTTAACCACAATTCTATTGCCACTTTCATCTGGCAATTCCCATTCAATCCATGGATATCACAGAAATAAAGTACAAAAGAATTTAAAAATAAACTATATTTCAATGCACGTAAATATAGAACTATATAAACTACCAATCTGAATCAGTGCGATGCTAGATTTGACGTTTTACTGGGTGCATTGCTAGATTTGGCATATTTGCTCATACAGTTTGGCTGCAATTTTTTTATGGTCCTCAAAATGGACTAGCCCTTTAAATTATTATTCAAAAAATAAATCCCTACAATCTAACGTACAGACAGGAAAGGTATCACTAAATTCAGTACATGAACATAGTGTAGATAAATAATACATTGTTATAGGATAAACATCTGAATAAACTACTCAGCATCTTAGTAAGTTATGATGGGATGGTATGCTCTACTAAAAGAAAATACAAATATTGAAACACTTACATAACATATGAAAATCTGTGGGAGCATTGCATAATGCACTAGAAGGAAACCACAAGCCTGACGGAATGAAGAACAAATTGTTACACAAAACAGGTAAAATGTCACATCTAATATTTTTTATGGCAGTTTTCGATATGTAAGAATAAAGAAAAAACAGTTTTTCCTAGCATCAGCATTTTAATCATTGACACATTGATAAACTATATAAAAAAAATTGGTACTAAAGAAATATCTATTATATACACAACCAAAAACTAATTCATGTTCACGGGGGAAGGTGTTATATATGGCTACTGGGCCGAATGCCTACCCCTATCAAAAAAAAAAAAAATTACTATTATGTGAGCATTCAGAAAAAAATTTCTAATTAAAAAAAAAAAAAATTGAGCTATATGAAGAGATATAAGTAACAAGGGTACTTTTCCATTTTGCAGGCGCAGGCGATAAATTCGCCAAAAATGGTACAACCGATGCCAAACTTAATATACTACTAAACTATATGCCTCAATTTTCAAAACAAGTTGCAGTCATTTCTTATCAGATTGATTGTTTCCTTCAATACTGGCTTACAATTACATAGAATTTTTACCAGATAGTTCAATTTTTTGCCCTAAGGCCATTAGCGGTAATTAAGTCAATTAGGATGCAATCACACCACTCACCTGAAGGCGAAAATCTAGAAAAGGCAAAGTCAAGGGTTAAATTCATCAATTCTAATGAGAATGCACTAGCGAAGTAAAGCACTGCGGTTTTGCATAATTTCTGAGCAAGCTATTCATACTAATTGAAATAATTCTTGCATTTAAATTTATATTCCAAATGAAGATTTAACCTGAAATTAATGTAGATATTTACTGAGAGAATTAGAATTTTGTAAGATAGTTTACGTGAGAGGAGATCACTTGGTGTCAAATGATATGAACTAGCGAATCAGGATGGTTGAACCATGAAAGCATAGTAAATTCTTAAATTAGCGTCTTTTTACAAATTTATTGTCTTTATTTATTGGCTTTTTACAAAATTTTAAACAATATTATTAAAATGTTTATGCCTTTAAAATAAAAAATTCTTAGAACTAACATTTGTTAATTTTTTAAATTTTTTTTTATTTGTATGAAACAAACAAAACAGAAAAGTATCCAGCAAAAAAGTAAGCCAGCAAAACAGAAAAGTATCATAACAAGTTACATAATAAATTTTGTCACGAATAACTTGAGGTAAGTCGTTTTAAATATATTAAAAAGGTAATAAATTAAGCAAGATATAACATAATTGTTATATGAGATAAGAATTTAAAACGTGTAGTGAAACAGAGTCGGCTAATGGGGAAGCATCTGGTGCAAGCTTTTGGAGCCATTGACAAATATCCTGAAAGGCAGATTTACAGCAATCGGAAGAATAAACAAGAATTAGGTGTAACTCCTTCAGTGAAAAATTTAAAAGGGGAAAAGAATAAAAAGGCAGGTAAAAATAATGGATAAGTTTGAGCAATTTGAAGTATTAAATTGACATTTGTCCTGTCAAACAAGATACAAAATATGTGCATATATGAGAGGAGATACATACATAATACAATAAGCGTAATTACAATATATAACACAAGTGCTGAATAATAATGCAGGAAACAGTAAGAAAACATCAATTAATATTTACATTAAGTATGGCCATAGGGCATTTGCAGTTAGCAGAATCATTAATGTCATAATTACGTGTTTTAATGGCAGGATTTTGAATATTTTTTGGCTTTAAAAAAAATTCCTTGCTAATTTACAATGTATAGTATTAAGCTAGTCCATTTTGAGCTCAAAATGGATACGGTTATTATGAATGTACCATGGTGAGTTTGAAATTTGACGTAATATACAATTTTAGGCTGTTTGGGGCTTTTTTCTATCTGATTTGCAAAAGGATTCACCAGCCACTGTACTATATTGCCAAAATAGGCAACCCATAATATCCACAAAATGTATTTGACAACGCATTCAACTAGAACTTTTAAATTTGCATTCTTTCCGGTGCTTTAAATCATGCAATTCTGTGGTATGACCACTAGCCATGTCTTTTTCAGTTAAAATGTATTTTATCTTTATTAATTTACTGTAATTCATAAATTTAATTGCTATGTTTTAAATAAAACATTTTATGTAGCTGATATAAATAGGCTGATTTATGATCTTAAATTAAATAAAACATTTTATGTAGCTGATATAAATAGGCTGATTTATGATCTTAAATTTTTAAAAAAAATTGTATAAAGTGGTGTATAGTTTTCATTTTTGTATATAGAGGAATATATGTGGAAAATATTGTAATATGCAGAAAACCCTCTAATGGATACCACACAGGCAATCTTTGTAAATAACTAGTATTTATGAGAACCTTTTTTTTTTTTTTTTTTTTTGAAATGTGGACTACCAGCTTATTTTTGGGGTGCATGTTTGGCGAATACTTTGTCTCAGGGTGTTTTACTTGTTTACATATTGTCTTGGAACTTTTTCATAGCCCCTTACAGATCTGTTTCTAGGATATACATTCAGAAAAATACTTTTTTGATGGATCAGGTACTGTGGTGTTGCACTACCGGCATTAATTCTCTGGAAAGTGTGTTTTCATGTTGAAAGTTTAACTATACATACAAATTTACTAATAGATCCAAATAGATGGAACACAGTTTAGCTCAATTTTTAGCAGTGGAATTTTATCTAGGTAATAAAAATCGCCAACTCTGAGCATGCAGCTATCTTTTTCCATAATTCGTAGAAGAGTCAACAGTTGATTTAGCGTGTCCCTGAGAAAGACCTTTCAATTGTTTTCAAGGGTATCGGCTGAATTTCCGATGCGAAATTACTTGTCCCTCTAAAGGTCGTTTTATTATTTCAGAAGATACGTTAATACATTTTTCGTACAGTGATTTCACAGGCATGCGATATAAACAACGCTATGGACTAAAATTCCCTATACTCAAAATCCCTTTTCCCTTCCTCATATCCCAAAGAAGGAAAAAACCGGTTATGAGCAAAAGTGAGATTTGGGGTCTAGACTTAGACTCTATAATTGACCGAGCTATTGCGAAGAGCGATGTTGCCGGCTCCAGAATTAAAGCCCAAGGGCACTTGACATAAAGAAATCCGGACGTGTAGAAAATCTCGGATGAGAAAAGGGGAAGAAGAGAAGTACCAAACGGAGCAAGACAATCCAATCGGACAAGTTCGCAAAACGTGACGAGCAATCATAGCTTTCAAGGAGGACCCAAGACAGTGCAAATCAATGACAACAATATGAGAAGATACACTACAGCAATAGTTCCAATGACAAATTCAAATACAATTAAACAACCTCAATCAATAGTGCTAAAATACACACAATACAAAACACTATTAAACTATTCACGTAATACACTACAGCAGCTCAACAACAACCTAAGCAACCTATTACAAACACTACTATATCATCACAATGCGAAAATCTTGCAAATTAGTTTTACAATCTCCAAGAATAATATCAAGCTAGAGAAGAACTTCAATCAAAATCAGAGTGCATTGGAAGTATAAACAGCTACCAATTGAGGAGCTAAGTCAAAAAGTTGTCGTCTCCTCCCATGAAGGTGGGAGCTGCAAGTGGTCTGACGCTTGTATCTACGAAGAGAATTTCATAATTAAAGACTTGGGAGTAATTAACAAAGTCACATTGCACAGCTCTGTTGAAGAATTTTTCATTAGATCTTCTGATGTAATCTGGAATCGTCTCAAGTTTTAAGTCTCTTTGTAGAAGTTTATTGCGAATAAGGTAATGTGAATCAGTAATAATGTGCAGAAATTTGTTTTGCACTACTTGTAATTGATGCAGTTTAGTTTGAGTGACCGTGTTCCAAGCAGGAGCAGCATAACAAAGTATCGGTCGAATGCAAGTGGTATATATATGTTTTTTGGTACGCAAACTAAGATTTGAATATTTTCCAATAACCGGGGGGTCTAGATGCTTGTGACGCAGACCTGAAGTAGGCATGACGGCAACCAATCTGCTATCGGCACTACTCGGCTTTCCAGATGACGTAACATCAAGTTTCGTTTTTGCATCTTAATTAAACTGGAACAGTCCATTCTTAATACAAACAGTGGCAGTGAAAAACGAAGTAGAAGTAATTGATATATCCCTTTAAAATAAGAACTAAACCTTATGTAAAAATTAGAATTATTTCAAGGAGGAGAGATGATGCAGAAAAAGGGTTACAAAAGGTCATATTTTCCAACATTTACCTTTACGCATGCGCATATGCCTTTATGCATGCGCATGTGTGTTTACGCATAATACCTTTATGCATGCGTATTTAATGTATAACGGACGGTATAAGCTAGGCTAAAATTATCTAATTATTTATTTCAGTCAATGTTGCAGATTGCGTTGTTCCTTAATCTTCTAATTGGATCCGTCTAATTGTTTTTTGCAGACTGTTAGAGCAATTTTATAAAAAGTAAGCTTGAACTTTTGATTATGTCAAAAAGAGTTTCCGATTCTGGAAACTCTTTTTCTGAAACCTTATTCTGGAGCTGCCAAAGGATCTACAAACCAAAAGCATGTTTCGATGACCATCAAACAAAAAGTGGAATTGCTGCAAGAAATGGATAAAGGCATACAAAGCAAAAGCATGTTTCGATGACCATCAAACAAAAAGTGGAATTGCTGCAAGAAATGGATAAAGGCATGAAGAAAGTGATAGAGAGGTTAGTGAAAACGAAAAAATTTCGATTGACAAGTTAGTCGGTATTCTCGGCTGAGCAATTACAGGATTTCAACGGCAGAACTTTGTAACTGATTAAAGACTTTGTAATGTATACCACTACCTCCTTATCGGTAATATGTTTTGAAACAAAGCAATATTCATGTAACACGCATGAATATTGTAAAATTTATCTTTTTAATTGTTACACTTTTTCATAAGATTCTTTCAGTTATTTTTTTATTAATTACAAAATCCTGGATTGGCATCCTTAGCAACATAGTTTTTCGCAAGGTTTATTAATTTATTTACTTCTCATTTTTAAACCTAGAAAAGTTTGTTAAAAATGACATATAATTTTTAATTTCACTCGAGTGTGTTCTACTTTTATTTAACATAAATATTTTACATTCTAAAAAAATTAGTTGCCATATACAGGTTTCATACAATCCTTAAGAATTTTTAAAAGTCCTTAGTTTTTTTCAATCAATTTTTGGCCCTTAAAAGTCCGTAAAAGTTAATTTTGGCTAAAATTGGCGGAAGGTTTTTTAATCTTAATCATTTGAAAATTTTGTCTGTTTTTACGACAGCCATTTTGAGTGTGAATTAGCATTTTGGAGGAATATTTTTGGCGATTCACTAATAAATATGCTTATCTTTTGATTGCGTTCATGGGGTATGATTTGTCTTTATTTCCAATATAAACAGTGGGAGATACTCGTATATGTGGGCAAGAAGTGAAACATAAGCCTTTCAAAATTATTTAATTTTTTTCTAACAAAACCTTTTGCTTTTGGGGATGTGAATTATTTTTTAAACTGTTCTAAATTTGGCAAGTTATCAACATTTTGGCAATTTTAAGATCAGTTTCTGTAGAAAAAAGTTTTAATTTAAGAGATCTGGGAATTTTTCAATGATTTTTTTTTGAACATTATAGCATTGATAAATTTCAATAAAATAATTGTAATATATTAAAAAAAATAACATTAAAATTAAACATTTTTAGTTTTCACTGTCATGTTTAAAGTAATGTTGCTTTCCATTCTGACGACTTATGCAATATTTTGAATCTGAAAAATAAACAAGGTAATAAATGCTATAAATCACAATTTACAAAACATTTCTTAGCAAAAGCAAAAAAAGCCATGTAATTAATTTAAAATGTCTTCTTTTTAATTTTTTCATGGTAATAGTTTTTCCCATGTAAATTGTCTCAGAATATTCAGAATTCTGAGAATATGTGCCAGTTTTCTCTGTAAGGACTTTTTTTATTCCCCCCTAAAAAGGAGTATTTCTTGTTTTTTGCTATTATAAAATTGGTAGGGGTAATTTTTCTTAGAAAGTTTAGAAGGATTTGAAGGCAAGGTTTACAGACCCACAATTCTAGAAGATTTCAGAAAAATGTGACAAAAATGTCTTCATGGTAATACATAGCACCTAATGGATGTAGTATTTTACAGAAAGTTTGTAATGAATTTCTTACTTTCTGGAGAATTTTGGAAGAATAATGAAAACATAATATTTGAATGTTTTACTTCTAATACTAAAATTCTGTTTCTTACCGTGTTATCTTCCCTTTATTTTCTCTACTTTTCATTAGACACTAGCATGGAAAGTAACAAAAATGCTTCTAATCTTATCACATAGACAGGCATTTATAGAAAGGTATTTTTCTATTAATAAAGAAATATAAAACTGACAATTTAAAAGATTCATCTTATATGTCATATGCAGGGCTGGTACAGTCAAAAGTCGTTAATTCGGACTCGTCGGGACTTCGGCGATTCCGGATTATCGATTTTTCCGGATTATAGATCATCAGTTTAAATCTGGTAAAATGGCATGCAGAAATTATAAAATTAAAAATATGAAAACCGTAATTTACGAAATAAAGAAACAATTATGATCTAAAGGGTATCAAAATTGACAAAAAAAAAGCTTAATATTTATTGTTTACTTTATTAAACATTTCTTTCAATGTAAGTTGTTTTCAGTTGCTTCGTTTTTATGTGAATACATTCTCTTTAATCTATAACAGACATAATTCTTGTTCAGTTACAAAGGTCCGCTGTTCAAGTCCTATAATTGCGTGTCGAGAATACCGATAATTTGTCAATCGAAATTTTTCATTTTCAATAAAAACTGTGTCATTTCTTCGCTATCGGAAGCGCATTATAATGACGAGGAATTCATTTAAATCATATCAAAGACGGAGTACATGAGATGAAATACTACATTGAGTAAGCAATTATAAGCCAAATAAAAAAAAACATCTGCTCAAGATAAGGATAGTGCTGACAAATCAACTTCCAATTGCATGCCGCCGCGGCGTTAAGATAAAAAATTAGATAAACAAACGTTAAACTTTAGATAAACAAAGGATATGCCTTTATTCATTTTTTTTGCAGCAATTCCGCTTTTTGTTTAATGGACTTCCGAAAGATTACTTTCGCTTTGTAGATCCATTTACATATTAGTAAATATATATCGGAAATTCTATTTGACATAATCGAAAGTTCAAGCTTACTTTTATAAAAATTGCTCTAACAGTCTGCAAAAAAATAATAATCCAGATCCAATTCGAAGATTAAGGAACAACGCAATCTGCAACATTAACTGAAATAGATAATTAGATAATTTAGCTTAGCTTATCCGTCCGTTATACATTAAACGCGCATTCGTAAACGTATTTTGCGCAGCGCACACGCAAATTCGCAGCGGTAAAGGTCTTACGCGCATGCGTCAACGCGACGCATGCGCAGAAAGTTGTAGCTTTGAGGTCCGGATTATAGATCATTCCGGATTATGGGTGTCCGAATTAACGACTTTTGACTGTACTAAGAATTTTCCCACCTGATACAATCTCTGCGGATCCTAAATTCTGTTGCCTAGTTGCCGTCCTAAATTGTACTTCCAATGCCTGTCTAAAAGTTTTGCCATTTCTAGATTTTGTTGCTCGGTGTATCACTAAATTCTAAAAATTCTGCCACAACGGCTCTGTAACCGGTAGTTAAATAATTTCATGTTGATTCTCTATGTTTACATAACTAAATAAAATTAGTAGCTTTTACTATACATTTTAAATGCATTTAGTTTTTTAGAAAAGCAGAAATCTTTAATTAAATCCAAAAATTCAGAAAGGAAGAGGAAACATTGAAGAAAGAAACAAATACATAAAGAGAGAGAAAATTATTCTCGAAAGATATATACTGGTATTATTATATAAATTAACTAGTTGTTTATAATTTCAGCCTTTACTATAACTTCTTCTTTTCGTTTCTCACCAGAATGTAAGTCAGTTAGATAATTTTCAAAATAAATAAGGTTTTTGGATTGTAAGACAGAGTGTGTTTCTGGCCTCTGCTTGTACCTGCCAATTCTAATAATTTGTAATTAATATTTGCATTATTGCTGCCAACATTGGAATTTATTATGACAATAGAATTAAAGAGCCAGCTTATATTAAAATTAAACCGTGTATTCTTTGACTACTAGTGAACGTTTTTAGTTTGAATTTGACTGTTCCCGTTTAATTAAATCAACACAAGATGTAGTTGATTTTTGTTAGCATAACATGCCTAATTAAGTTCTTTTTAAATAAGAGGTTTATTTAAACCTTTATCTGACTTTGTAGTTACTTTCAGGCATAGCAATAATTTGCTTCATGTCTGTCAGGAGCTTTGGACTACTTAAATTTTATCAGATCAAGTAAAACCTCATAGGTGCATTGTCGATAGAGATTGACAAATAAGGAGATAAAGCATGCAGAAACTAGTGGGAATACTGGTTTGCATAAGAGAAAGAAACTGATATAAATTAGCCAAAATATCTGGGAAGCTATCAATTTGAAAAGATTGATAAATATTTTGAGTTTACGGATCAGTGTCATAAATTACATGTATTTTAAACTCTGAAATGTTACTAGATTGTGATTTTAATAGTGCTTTTTTAACAAATATTTTAAAAATTTTAATTTATTAGTGGCCATGTAAATCTATAATAACTAAGGGCATCTAACTACCTAATTTGATTATTTGTAACTAATTGCTCACTCTTAAAAGTTATCTCTGCATATTAAAGTGAGTTATTGGCTTTCATTAACCACTTTCCAGTTTTGCCCGAATGCCGTTCGGGTACTTGGAAATGGCACTTTTTTTATTTTCCCGAGCGGCGCTCGGACCAACATTTTTTTTATAGTCTAATACACTGATTTGCTTGAATTTTTTGCTTGTTTAGTGTGTAATGTTTCTCAGATGGCTCTAGTAATCCAGTAAAGTTAGAATTGCAAAACAACTGGTTTCAAGATAAGGTTTTACTGAATTCTTTTGCAAGTAAAGGCGTGAAATTTCTTTTCACTAGCGCTGTGTTCTGGCTACTGCGTTTACTATTTCTTATATATATTTTATATTCTATTTCTACTATGAATACTATTTCCTATATACTGCGAATATTATTTCTATCAAAAACTGAGACCAACAAGGCAATGTTTTGTGTGTTGCTCGAAAAGAAACAATTTTGGTAAATGAGTGAGAAAAGAAACGCGATATTTTTGTCCTGATTGCGATGTTGGACTATGCTTGTCTCCCTGTTTTAAAATTTATCATAGAAAAACTGAATTTTAAAAAGAAAATTAATGTAATAACAATAAAACATTTTAAATTCTGACCATCTATTTTTGTAAAGTGTTCTTTTCAGTTTTACTTAGTTCTTCGGAGAAAAGCCAACAAAAGGAAAAATGTGCTTTTTACAATGAAAATAAAAATTAGCATAAATCAATACATTCAATACTTGTAATAGTTCTGACTGCTGATTTAGGTTAATATAATGAATTTCTTCATAAAAGTGTTTATCAGAAATATGCTTATTTTTTGTCATAATATGACGGAAAAAAGAATCTGTTAAGTGGTTAATTCTTACCATGGTCACAAAATACAGCAAAAAAATGTAAAACCTATTCTTTGCATCTAGTGAGACTTAAAAATAATACAAAACAACTTATCACCTCTAGTGCTTTAGTGACTTATTGGAACCTTAAAAGTATATTAATTACAACCCCAGGAACTCTACGCAAAGCTACGACTAACTGTGTCAGACAGACACAGCATAACTAAATTTAAAAACTTGCCAACATTGCCTACATCATGCTTTCAGGGTTGTTCTGGTCAGCAGGTCTCGCTCTAGGCAAGCAGCAGAGGTGGCAACATCCATCTTCTGTTACAAATCATGCTGATTATGATTTTACTTCACATTTTAATCTGTGTTGTTTTACATAAAATCTACCTGCTATTTACAAAACCTCTAGACTGAGCAAATACATGATAGAATGAGACATAAAAGAAAAAAAAAAAAAAAAAAAAAATCAACGTAAAGTTAACTGTTAGTAAAATGTCAGTAATCTTCTTTCAAATATGTGCAACTATTATAAGGTAAAATACTTAATGCTACTTGATAAATTTTGTAAAGTTGATTTTATTCTCAAATTTGTTTTATAATTATGTTTATTAAATTTTTTTTTACAATAATGCATCCTATTTACGGATCTATTTTATTCTTAGGATGGTATTGCAGAAGTGAAATTCAGGCATAGATAATATCTTTAATTGAATTTATTGTCTTTGATATGATTTAAATCAAATTCCTCGTCATTATAATTTGTTTCCGATAGTGAAGAAAGTGAGACAGAGGTTATTGAAAACGAAAAAATTTTGATTGACAAATTAGTCGGTATTCTCGACACAGCAATTATAGGACTTGAACAGCAGAACTTTGTAACTGAACAAAAAATAGTCTGTTTATAGAATTAAAGAGAAAGTATTATCACATAAACGAGCAGCAACTTAAACACTTACATGAAAGAAATGTATAATAAAGTAACAAATAAATATTAAGCCTTTTTTTTTTTTTTTTTTTTTTTTGTAAATTTTGATATCCTTTAGATCATAATTGTTCTTTATTTCATAAATTACGGTTTCATATTTTTAATTTTATAATTTCTGCATGCCATCTTACCCGATTTAAACTGATGATCTATAATCCGGAATCGCCGAAGTCCCGACGAGTCTGGATTAACGACTTTTCACTGTATATGTTTTAATGTTAAGTTCCTAGTTATAAAAAAAGTGTTTTGATCAATAGTTTTTTATTCCCCGTTTTTGCAGTGTTAGAGCAATTTTCTCCTGAAGATGACCTTCATATTACTGCAATTAATGGTAATACTGCTGTGATTCCTTGTGATCCTCCATTTAGTGTGCCAACTGTTGTTACTTCGTTTTTATTTAATGGGAGCAAGATTGATCGATCAACAGGTTGGTAAACAAGATTTACTTTACTCAGAAACTTTCTAAAAAATTTTAAAATCATTGTTTTCAGTTCTCCAATTTGCAATGCCTTCAGTAAAAATGTAATTGCAATTTCTGTATGTAGCTGATTGCTTCTAATATTTCTCACTGTTTACAACTTGTAATTTAATTACTTTAAATTGTAATTACTTTACTTGTAGTTTAATTACTTTAGAATGTAATATGAATTATTGAATAGTTTGAAATGAATAACAGTATTTTCAATTGAAATGTTAATGCATTTCTTCAAATAATAGATCGGACATAAAGTTGATTACCCTGCAATTTGAGATCCATTGTGTTAAAATAGAAATATCTGACTGATTGCGAATCGTATAATTATTTTAGATCTTAAGATGTGAAAACATGGAAAATGTTCATGAATCTTGTATTATTTACACTGAAGTTGTTTTCATTGCCTGATTTTTAATTTTTAGTTTATTTATTTCTTTTTGAACGTTTACTTAGTAATTTTATTTATAATATGTGTATTCAATCTTTAGCGGATATTCAAGAAAGTTCTTTGTATTTTGACTGAACCTGATGCAGATTCCTCTTCAAGGAGCAAAATTATTCTGTTGTTAATAAGGCTAAATAATTTTACTTTTTAAAGAGAGATGTGTGTTATTTTTCTTCTAAATGCATACAATTTCCTTCTAAAATGAACACCAATTCAGTATACTTAAAATATGTTTTAAATTAATGTTGTAAATGTAAGAAATATGTAATCATAAAAATAATGCAAGAAAATAATAAAAATATTTAACTCATAAATGTGTTTGTTCATTTAGAGTACAACCAAAGTTTTATTAATGAACAATTCTTTTATTTTTGCATTAGATAACAGGAAACTGATGTCATCAGGTGATTTGCAGATTTTTAATGTAAAGCCAGAAGATGCTGGAGAATATAAATGCATTGCCTATAATCCTTTCTTAGCAGAAAAAGTGATGTCAAAAAGGAAAATTATGCTGCAAGTTATAGGTATGTATGTGCACAATGTCTGAGCTAACTTCTAGGTGAAAAATTGACTTCGATATTTTTGAGCATGTGGTATCCTTTGATAAAAACGTATGGAAATTTTTTTTTTTTTTTTTTTTTTTTTTTTTGAGTTTTGCAAGGAAAAAATTGTCTCAATAAGAGAAATGATTTTCATACTTTCCATTTTGTGATTTACAAATTACTTGCCATATCATTCCTTCATCAAACTTTTTGGGCTATGTACAGCTTTTGACCCCCCCCCCCCAAAGTAATACTTGCTAAATTTTGGATTTAAAATTTCTAGTCATATCCTGAAAAACATTAGAAGTGTAGGTTTCAAGATACCATTGGCAGAAAGGTAAAAATTCAGAATTTAGCATAGAGTAGGATTTTTATTATGATTCCCAAAATTGTTATTTTTGAATCAAATGGTTCAGGTCATACATTACTCAAAATTCTTTTGTGGCTGATTTTACATAGTATTATTAGCCTACATTATTAAGATCTTTAACAAAGAAATCAATCACTAATTGGGACTTTCTGTAGAGAGGCTTTATCTACAAACTCAAATTTCCTGCATTTTTAATAAAAAATATCCAAAGATAATCTGAAAACCATCCTTAATTTATTCACTAGAATCATTGACCTTTGACCAGTTATTCAAGAGAGGCAAATGTTTTTAGGCAAACATCTTGTACAGAATAAGCAATATGTTATCAATATAGAATCAGTCTCGAATTGCTATCATTATATTAAAAGTCTTTCATTTCCAAAGAGTTTTAATATTTAAGCAGTTTTTCTTCTTCTGTCTCTGCAGGGCACGGGGGCTGGCAGCTTTCGGCTGTTTATACTGAAGTTTATAATGTACAACAGCATTAAAAATACTTTTTGTTAATGGTGGAAATGTTTACAAAAAATGATCAGTTTTTAAGAACTTGCTCAATTAATACTGCTGAGTTTAATTGAGTTAGAGTTTAGCAGTGTATAATTAATTATTTTTAAAGGAAAATTAAAGTTATATATATATTATGGCAGAAATTTGTATATTCAGCATTGGCGACTTCTAAGGCCAGAAGTGGTAGCCATTTTACTGTAGAAGCACCTAATAGGCGGCAACCATTACCTTCTATGAAGGGACTGACGGTTACAACCGTGCCTTCTCCAAGATTCGAACACGGGTTTTTTGGTATTGCAGTAGCCTTTCGGTATTCCTAACCACTATACATCTGGGCAGCACAGAAGTTAACCTGTACCATATTGAATGCCAGCACCCTAGAGGCAATTAGCAGTTTGCCAATGTGGAAGATAAATGGATTTTTTTTTTTTTTTTTTTTCTGTCTCACAGCAGGCCACATGGCTAATAAATGCCTTAATAGTGTAATATAATAAAGTTTAAAAATTCAAAGACTAAGCTAAACATGTTTCTTAAATCAAAACTAACAATTATGCTATTAAAAATTAGTAAGCATCAGTAAGTTAGTAATCATGCTATTAAAATATACTGTAAATATTTTGAAAAAATCCAGTTATATTCAGTATCACCTTTCAGCTTAAACACCACTATTAAAACTGAAATTTGAGTGATTATATTGCAATTAAAATTGAAATATTTTTAGGGTAGAAATTTTTTTTACCTTTTTACCATCTTTCTTACTGTGTAAATATTTGATTTCGATTGATTATATATGAACATTAAGGCATTCATTATGCATTTCAGCCCCTTTTCGGCCTGAACCGCCCAGTTTTGTGAAGACGCCGAGAGCTAAAATAGCAGTTGCATTAGGAAGCAATGTGACTGTGGAATGTGCAGTTGCTGGACATCCACTGCCTGTTGTAAGTTGGAGAAAGCATCATGGAAAACTTCCTCATTCACGATATCAACAAATTGGAGGTAATTGAACATACCTGTAATACGCATTTTTTAACAATACTGTAGAAATACTGTTGAAACTAAAATATTTACATACTAGTGTGTAATATTTTATTAATATCTGTAACTCTGTTTTTGGAAGTCAGTATTGCAGTAGTTATTCTTAGAAATGATTGATACGAGTCTGTAAGTATTTTGAAACTATTTTTAGCTATTGTTTTTGCAAAACAGTAGCTATTTTCATCATGGTGGTGAGGGGGACCACACTTTCAAACTTTATGCTCCAGCATATATATGACAGTTATGTTGAATGTTATGCATAGGGATTCTATAGAACACTTTTTTGTTTTTTAAATAACTCTGTCATCAGTTTACTGGTGGGGTCCAGTGCATTGTCATCATGATATATTTCTTGTTTGACAAATTGTGATTCAGCAGTTGGGTTAACTTTGTCCTCTAGAATACATAGATAATGCTATGTCACCATCAAAAAGCACTATTCACAAAAACACCTATCCTTTGCAGTCCAGACCATCACAATTCCACTTCCATGTTTCATTCTGACCATGATGCTGTACATATATATTTCTAGATAGGCTTCTCCACATATATTCCACATATACATTCACCCAAATGTAAAAAAGAATATAAAGAAGGATTTATAAATTAAATAGAATTTTGCATTTTGTGTTGTCCAAATTTTATAGTTCTGATACCCCTGAAACTGGTATTTAGTTTAGGTGCTGGTTAACAAAGGCCATAATTTGAGATGTTTTGAATGTATTGAATACACTTTGTTTGTACTGTAAAAGTCTTTCCACATACCTACCTACCTTATGCTTCACCAATTGCACCACTTGAACTTCCTTTTGAGCTATACAGACACTGATTCCAAGTACTGTGGCTTTTACACAAAATGATTTGCTGTTTCGGTAACGGATGCATTTGATAAATGAGCAAGGACAATCTGTTTGTCAGCTTGAATGTATGTAAACTATAAAGCATAATGTATCTCCCATTTATGCTTTATAGTTTTCAATGTTTCAAGTCAGTACCTGTCACATAATTGCCAGTTCTTCTGATTTTTTATCACATATCCCATTAAATTACTGAATCTGCTGCTTTTTTAATTTAGTCATTTATTTTGCTGTCACCGACATAGCTTCACCCTTTTGACCATCAAACTACAGTGTAAACCTGAGTGGCTGGTACTGTACCACATGATGCATTAGGTAGAGAAGAGTACAAAAACTGGTGTTAGAAATATCAGATGTGTGTAAATGCTCAAGCTGAAATGAAAAGATATAGACCTAACTGATATGAAATTAAGAGTCCCCCCCCCACTTGTCTGCAGATACCATAGTGTTTTAAATTTGTGCTTTAAACTTGCTAACTAATTAGTTTTGATTTTATTTTCATCGCATTCAAAAGTACTTTGATAAATAAAGGCTTTCCTTCCCTACTCAGGAATTTCTCAGTCTAAAAGTTTTAAGAAAATTGCAAAATATTGAAAGAAGCCAAAAAATAAAATGTAAAATATCTAGTTAAATATTAATATATTTTGCATGAAAACACATTATAAGCAGTTCATTATAAATATATATAATAATAGTGTATAAAGTATAAAGTGAATTTAAGTCAGTTTTGCATTCCTTTTAAATCATGTTGCAGTTTGGAAACCTTCTGTTTCCACTTGAAAATCAAATATTTCTTAGATTTTAAGGATGGTAGTTATGCTGAAAATTCATATTCAGTGCCATGCTGTGGTTGACAAAATTTGAAATTATTCAAGTTTTTGTAACCAAAAGAATATATACTTTGAATCTGGATTGCTGTGTTTGCCAGTTGTTTCAGTTTCTCTATCCAACTTCTGTACTATCTCAAATGAAATTTATTTGCTTATTTTCACAGCACCCTATTAGCTGTAGAATTAAACTCATATTCTTAGAATTTACTGTTTTTCAAAAGCAAATTACAGATAACATGACAATAAAGAAGGGAGAAAGAAATTAAACTGTATGTGCATATTTGTATTTAGAGTGAAGAAATAATAAATTTGATATAGTTATGAAAATCTTTGCTTTATTTTACACAAAGCTATCTTGAATCATGTTAAAACAGTTTTAAATCATAAAACATATTAAATAAAACCAAAGAAAATTTTTTAGTAAAATGCTTGAAATGAGATTTTATTATCTCCAAAAATACACTCTATTGCAAAAAATACTGCACCGAGAAAGAATTGAGTCACAACTACGAAATTCAGCAGTAGTATGGTATTCGAGTAGATAAACAAATGATCAGAAATTGGGGGGGGGAGTGTTTTGTTTATGAATAGCAGTACAAAGAATGTGAAAATCAGTAGGCAGTAAAGCTGCCCCTGGCAGCTGTACAAGCCCATACTCCAGTTGGGCATGAAATCTGTTAAGTTGTCATTCTACCTCTGTGGTACGAAGCAGGTCGTTTCGATGCCATATTTTTTTCCGTATTTTAATTTATTTTTAGAATAAATATGAAGTAATATAAATAAGTAATATGACGGAATTTTATTTATTGAATTAACGATTGTTTGCATGCATATTTGAAATAAACATATGTGTGTATATGTGTGAAAGTGTTCTAGATTTTTGTTTGTGTCCCAGATTAGTGAGTAGCCTCCTCGCCAACGTCAAGGCCCCGGGACATGAGGGAGGTTTTTTTTTTATTTATTTATTTCATAAAACAGCATCAAAAAGGCAAAATACACAAATGGTAAATAAACACATGGTTACAAAGTAGTTATATTATATCGCAGACAAATATAATTACAGATAAATAAGATTAGAGATAAATAGGGTTACATCACAGAACTGTTATTATACTAATCCATTGCAAAATTACACGCCACACCTTTCAGGTATTCCATTATTTCTCGATTTTCAAAATCTTCAACCATTACTTTAATTCTCATATCAGCTCACAGATACCTATTCCTCTTTTGCGGTGGCTCATCTCCACATACAAATTGTTCATAATATTGATCAATTGATTTTTTAACATGCCTGAGACCATCTATGAATTCCCATAATGTGGGGTATGAAACACCAAATGATGATGATACCAAATTTATTTGAATGATAATGCAAACTTATTCTAAAAATAAATAAAAATACGAAAAGTATGGCGTCGAACTGACCCCGCGTCGAAACGACCTCGTGTTGAATCGACCACGCGTCGAACCATTGGCTTCGAAACATTGGCTTCGAACTGACCTGTACCGCTGTGGCAGATTGTACCACAAATGGAACAACTGATCATTGAGTTGGGACATGTTTATACACATAATGTACACATTTGTACACTGAATTTGCCTGCCCAAAATATCCCAAACATGTTTGATGGACACTATATCTGGAGACCTGTCAGGCCAGTCGAGGACATTAACATGCCGAAGATATTGTTGAAAAAGTGACCGAGCATTGTTCTACTGCAAAACAGAACCTGGACGACCTCCTAGCATAGGCAGTATGATCGGCTGCAAAATGTTATCAATGTACCTGTAAGAGTAATCAGAGTACCTCGCAGCATGACTAATGATAAATGGCTGTTCCAGCTGATTTATTTCCTAGACTGTCACACTGTGTTCTGGCTGTATGTTGCTAAGTAAATAATGACAGATTGTACCACTCACCTCTCTGTCTCCAGACATTTACGTGGCGGTCATCAGCACTGAGAGATAAACATGATTCATCCCTGAAGATCACATTTCTCCAATCGGACACTTCAGTTTGACCGAGAGTGGCACCTTGCTGGGCGATACTGCTTATGGTGGAGTGTAAATGGCAAATATCTTAATGGACGTCGATATCTGAGCCCAGTGTCATCTAGCCTTTTATGAATCGTATCCCTTGATCCCTAAGAGTTGGCAAATGGTGTAGTTATTGTTGCAGACATAGCAGCTCTTCTAATTGTGCAATCATTTCGCACATTGGTGGCCTGGAAATGTCCCGACGCACTATGACAGCTGACTATGCCTTCACTGAACCACTAATTCCAACAGCGGGCAACTACCATATCGCTTTGACCAATATGTCCACCGATTTATTTGTTTCTTCAACCAGCTAGCTTGTTTTAGCCCTATGATGTGACTCCTCTCAAAATCTGATAACTTTTCATAATGCTGTTGGGTACATCTTAAAGGCATCTTTGGTTACAATGTCATGTATCCAAGCCATCAGCATGGTTGTAAATGCTTGTCACTTGTTGCACCTGCCCTTTTACATTCTACCAGCTGCATATTTCAGGCATATGTTGCATTGCTCCACAATGCTGATTGGTGCTGCAAGTTTAATCAGTTATACAACTTGCCAAACCATATTTGCATACTGTGTTTTATAGTTGTGGCTCAGTTTTTTCAAAGGTGTAAATTTGTTTTTCCAACGGAGTGTATAATGTGTTACAGAAATGTAACTGTTTATTAACTTTAATTTTGGCTTTTGCAGTGTTCTTGTGGTTACTTAAATATATTTTTAACAAAGATATTATTTATGCAATTTTGTACTTAGCAGAAGCCAGTTTCTGTACTCGTATATGTATCATTGTCATGCCGAACTGACCACCAGTGATCAAGTGGATAAGACTGCTGAAGTGTGTAAACACAATCCGGTGTCAAGTCTTGGTGAATAGGCTGGCTGCATAACTGTTTTCGTAGTTTTACTCATGTTTAATTTGAATGCAAGCCAGTTTGCACGTGAAAAGATTCGCTGAGGCGTCCCCGTGCTTTGGCATATGGGCCTAGTGTTCTTTACTATAATCAGATAATCCAATCACAATTTCATTGTATATTTTATATCTCTCCACCTTTTTTTCTTGCTATTGAGAGGTATTTTTACTTAAACAAGGGCAATATGAGACTGTTTGGTATTTATTTTAAATATTATAATTTTATTTTGCACAATAGTTAGTAAGCTAAGAAAATGTAATGTAACCAATTTTCAATTGTAGGTATGACTTGTTTTAGCACTACACAAATATTATGGCAATTATTGTGGTGATGGTGGAAGGAATTTTTATTATCTGTCACTTCTCTTATCTGCTACAGTGATGGTCCTGAGACTGATAGATAATTGAAGTTTCATTATATTCTTTATAAAGTTTAATTTTTTTTTCCATACTACTCTAAAGACATAATTTAAAACTTTCTGAGTAAATTTCAAAGTCAAAAGATTTTGTTATGAAACCTGATTTAATGTTCATAAATTTTAATTATAGGAAATCTCCATATTATTGGTGTTCGAAGAGGAGATGAAGGTGTGTATTACTGTGAAGCAGAAAATTCTGTTGGAAATGTGTCGAGTAGTACGGAGATTGAAATTCAGGGTAAATACATAAAATTCTAACAGTTAGCCACTTGTTTAATCATTCTTCTATAGGTAGCTAGATGTTCCAAAATTTTTGTTATAAACTTCATTATCTTAATTTACTTTCAGAAACACCACAGATATTAAAATCCCCTAAAAGCATATCTGTTGAAGTGGGAGAAAATATGACATTAAGCTGCCTAGTCCATGGGCATCCAAAACCTCTAGTGACGTGGATGCATAATGGTAAAATAGTATCAGTTGATGCAGAGAGCGAAAGTAAAGGTATTAAATACTATTTAATTTTTTAAATATAAAATATGTTTAATATTAATGTTTAATGTGTTAATGCGTAATGTTTAATTTAATGTGTATTTAATACTGGATTAAGAAGTTTTTGCCTTGTCATTTTTTATTTTCTCAATTTGTCAATAGAATGCCTAAAAACATATCAGTTAGTTAATCTATTTATGCCAATTGTGATCCCCCCCCTGTATTTTTTATTTCCTTTTTCTGAAAAACACTAAAGTGCAACTTTTTATTAAAAAAATTAGGTTTTTAGGAATTTAATATTTCTGTTACCTTACTTGCATGCATATTTTTCCCTCTCTCTCTCTTTTTTTTTTTTTTTTCACTGATTTTATCACATTAAAATCGAAAGAGGTAAATTATGCTAGTAGTTTAATTTCCAAAGGATGCAGTTACAATAAGAACAAAATAAATGAAAAGTAGTCATGGTTGAACTATAAATAACTATCTCAATATTATTTCTTTAAAAGAAACCTACATTCCATTAAGGATACATAGTAATATTAACATTACAATATCTAATAAGGTATCTCGCTCATTGTTGCCTCTGCTACACCATAAGTTTCAAATCATCTATGAATAGTAATTAGAGAATTTAATTTGCAGCTGACTCAGCAAAATTATTGTTGGGATGTCGGTACGTGTTACTGTTATTTATTGGTTCTTGTATTAGGCTAGTAAAAAGCTCAGCTTTAGAAGGGAAAGGTTTTGTATGACCTTCACATGTAGTTTGCGAAGGTTTGTCATTGTTAATAGGATGAAAACAATCACTATGCGGATGAATCCATTTTAAAATTTGGTGAAGCTCATTCTCTGAATGCACTGAAGAAGGGAAAAAATATGCAAATAATTTTTAAAATGTTCAGAACCTGCCTCTAAAAGGCTAGAGGGAAAAATATGCAAGGACGTACTGTATTATGAAGTTCAAATATTCATTGTACAATTTTTTATAGACAGCTCATAAGTCCTTTACATTGCCCCCCTCTCTCCCCCTTTTTTATAGCTATTGATATCTGCAGGTGTGAAGTATGAATAGGTTTTGCCATTTTTTCATCTCACTTGAGGGGTTTTTTTTCAGAATAAATTACAAAAAAATCGAGGTTCATTCCTCCCATTTAGTGTTATTCAGTAAAATTCTATCGTGATTTACTTTATTTTGTATTATTTTTCAGTTTATAATTGTGTTTAATTTAATAAGCCAAAAACATTTTGACTCAGATAATTTATGTTTCTAAAACCGAAAAATGCATTAGTAATATTCACATACAGTTTTTGTTACAGTCATACCCCCTACCCTCTAAAGAAAGATTCATTGAACTAGAAATATATTACACTTTTAATTTATACAAATAATGTTAAGAATTGGCTGTATGGCAATCCTGAAGCCCACCATCATGTTCTAGAAGACAAATTCTGAAAGAATCTGTAAATAAAATCCTCTTTTGGAAAAAAAATTATTGATCAAAGCATTTCACGACAATCTGCATATCAATTTTCATCATCTGTTAACATCAGAAAGCATTTTCTTAAGTGGCATTTTATTTTTAATTATATACAAATTTAAATATTTTACTCTTCAGTGTCTTTATGAAATTCTTCTTTTTCAGGAATATTAACTCAAATTTATTTTTAATTAGGAATATTAACTCAAAATTAATAGGAATATTAACTCAAACCATGAATAAATTTGTGCACAATCTTTGAATGCGATTTAGTATTTTAAAATTAAGTGTATAAGTCAGTTTTATTTTAGATGTTTTTTTTTTAACTCTAAAATTAGCCTGCGTCTTATGGATCAAGGTTATAAGTTTGTCCTCTAAGATGCAAGCCGATTCGCCAGTCGTATGCTATTAAATATATTTTTCTACACCAGAAAGTCATAGAAAATTGTTACCTTTATTAAAAATGTTGATAATAACTGTTTTGAGCCAGTAGAAAGCAACAGAGTTTTAATATTTCCTTGACAGTACTTGCTAAAAAATTCCCAAGTGAATCATGTTCCTGAAATATTCCTGAAAAATCATCTACGAATCCAATATTCCTGAAAAAGAAGGGTTTCATACAGACACTGAAGAGTAAAATATATTATATTGTATATATTGTATGTAATTAAAAATAAAATGACACTTAAGAAAATGCTTTCTGATGTTAACAGATGATGAGCATTGATATGCAGATTGTCGTGAAATATATACAATGTAGCATATATATATATGTATGTATGTATATATATATGTATGCTATCCAGTCATACAAAGAGAACACACAGGAGAGTCCATAATGTTAAAATGAAAAGATGAGCACAGAGATATTTATATTAGAATGCTGTTAACATTCTGAAAGTTACAACTGCAGCCATACAATGTGAGTCGGAAATAAGTTGTGGTCTAGAAAAGAGTATATTCCAAGGTTTACCGTGCAAAACTAATGAAGAGAGCACCTGGAAATCCTAGCCATTTCCAGTTTAGCTGAATAGAATTGCTATTTCAGAAGGGGTGTCTGAAGAACAGAAGATCCCTTTTTGGCAAAATAATCAGCCTGCTCATTTCCCTCAATGCCGCATTGGCAGGAATTCACTGGAAGGACACGTTATTAGGAGAATTTTCAAGCAAAGTCCTGCATCTTAAGACCCAGGAGTTCTCAATCTCTTTCTTATAAAAAAGAGCCTGTAGTGCAGAATCAGAAAGGATTACAGCATTTTTAAAGGAGTTTTCTCATATAAAAAATTCTTCAAGTGATATAAGAATCACTTGAATAAAATGAGAATAAAAGAATGTTTAAGTGAATAGTGATATAAGAATAATCTATCAAAGTGAGCTGTGAAATTTGTAACTGAAAGGTGAAAACAAAAATGTTCATTAAAGATGCTAGTTTCAGCACCTTGTGAAAAATCAGAAAGCGAAACATCAATATACACATGTAACCAGTTATTGGAAGGCTGTTATAGATGGTCTTCAAAGCGATCACCCATAAGGCCTCAGGAGGAAGACTTTCTAAATTTCTGAGTTAGGTTTAACCTTACATCCAGATTCATGTAATGAAACAGGCAAGGAGGAAGGAACTCAGTTGGCAAGTTATTAATAATTTGGTCACATCTAATATCGCAGACACATTGTATAAAACAATACCATAAAATTACCAATTAACCCTTTCCGGCTCGCTACCTTTTAAAGTCAGAGTTTTGATTTAAAAAAAAGTAGGCAGTCTAATTAGGCCTAAGGGAGTACACAAGTAAAATTTTGTAAAGATAGCACTTATCGTTTTAATTCTGTGGGTGTGCCCAAAGTGGCACACTGATTGAATAGAGCTTCGAAAAAAGAAACAAGCATTGTTGTCAATGAACTGACCAATGAGATGCGGAGAAACAAAGAATACAGACTCTCAGTTGTCCTAGATTAACAGTGAGCTCGGTCTGGGCACACCTAGGGTTCGCCGTTTGATTTTAGGCAAGATTTCAAGGTAAAAATTTAAAACTAATATAGAATAAGGAGATTAGCATACAGCCAAAAAAATAACATAAAAATTTCTTTTCACAATTCCTTTTATACCCTAAAAAAAACCTGGAAGATTTCTTTCAAAAATGAGGGTCTTAAAAAACTAAAAATGGCTAAAATATATATGGACTGGTTTGTGTTGAGCTGCCATCTACTAAAAATTAAGAAGGTTCAGAGTAGCCTATAGTAACCTATAAATCCTTTTTCGTTCAATTTTTCTGTGCGTACAGAAGGAAATTTTTAGGTATGTCCAGATCGGACACACTGTGCCGCAAAGGGTTAAAGTACCATAAAATTTTTGTAAATTCTAATAAGAATATGTACCGAGTACAGTATGTTATAAAATGTACAATTAATCAAAATATGTGTCTTTCTTGCTATAAATTTCTATTTTATATATTGTTATAATGACTTCATTAATATTTTAAATGAATGACAGTTTTATGCTTTATGAAAATATTTAATTTTGAAAATAGGTATTATATGTTGTAGTTTAAATTTTTTTAATGTATGTTGTGAGAATTAAGACTAATTATAATTTAAAACATTTATGCTTGTAATAAAGCAATTGCATTTTTTTAAATGTTAATACATTTAATGTTTTTTTTTTTTTTTTCCAGAATCCCATTTGTTGATAACAAATGTAAATCACAGGCATTCTGGAATCTATCAGTGTTTTGCTAACAATGATTTGGGGACTGTTTACTCAGCTACAATAGTCACTGTGACTTCCGGCAATAAATCAGTTGATTTTGATTATGATGCACATAATTATGATGGTAAGACTTAGCCTTCCTCTAACAAAATTGGTTAGATTTCTTCTCACATTTTTAGATGATGCCTAAGTAGACATAATTCAAAATATAGCATTCTCCCGAAACGTTCAATGTATATCTTGAATTATGAAAGTCAGCTGATTGGTGTTATCTCTTTAAATATGTGAAAAATCATATTTAATGTGAAGTTACTGTTTAGGAAAAGTTTCTTCACAGAATCGATAATTATTTATGACTTACGTATGAAGGAACTTCTTTTATTCCAATTTCTTTATTATGTATTTAAAAGACTTATCCTTATCATACATATTTTTTAAATTAAAAGATATGAAATATTTTATCAGACAATTTTCAAACTTTCCTCTCTCTTCTTCCAAGTTGTTTATTAATTATTAATTTTTTTTAAAGATTATGATGCAGATGATACAATCAGCACTCCACCTTTAGTTCATGAAAGTAAAAAGGATTTGGGAATCGTAGACAAAAATTCTGAAGATGCATTAAATTCAGGGAGAGATAAATTACCTAATTTTGACTCTGGTTCAAGTCCAAAAAGAAAAAAAAAGAAGCATTCAAAAGGAGGTTAGTATTCATGTACCAGAAATGAAAAGGAAGTTAGCACTGCAGGTAAAATAAATTATTTGCAGATGATAGTAATTAAATGCTTTGTGATGCTAGTCTTTATATGCCTTGTTCATGACTATGGCCTGTATAGTCAGATGAAACAAAATTGTCCTAACTTATACATTCTGAATTTTATGGACATAAGACTCCATGAATTGTATGTTTCGAAGAATATGCGAATTGTAGGGTAGACACAGTGCTTCAAGTTATGTAAATGATGTGAAAAGGGCTACATTCTGTTGTAGGCGAAGCAAGAAAAAAGGGAAGAAATATGCAGAATTGATAGTAGGTGTGCTGCTCTATCAGGCAGAATAATCATTTTGCAGATTTTTGTACTGTGGCAGAGGAAACATTAGTATGGAGAATGCCAGGACCCCGAAAACTGAGCCAGCTTCAGCAGGCATACAAGTACATCAAGGTTATGGTGATCGGATTGAGAGGAGCCGGTTGGTGCCTGCGGTGAATCGCAGCATACAGGCACTGATACATATTTGTGGTGAAGATGGTTGGAAGAAAGGAATATGGCATATTCTAGGTGTAGCAGTGCTACCAGAGTGAGTTCTCGATACATTCAGAAGCATGTGGTGATTACTTGCAGGCCATGCCCATCAAAATTTTGCAGCAGCTGCAGGACACTCTTAATGCTCCTATATCGACTAGGATGGCAGGTTTGCCGATTGTCAACTTGTGCCTACACATGTGGCATCTGATAAAAAGTTTTTCATTAAGCCAGCTGCACAGGTGCCTCTGTTTGCGGTGGTACCGGTGCTGTTGGAGCCATGTGGATTTTAGAATGGTATAATCTGGTGCTTTTCAATGAGTCACGCTTTTGATTAAGCAATGACTGTTACCAAGTACAAGTCTGGGCAGTGACATCATGATAGGTCCAATCTAGCCACTACTGTGGAATACCACACTGCATGACAAAACATTGTCATTGTTTAGGATGCCATCAGCTGTGATAGCAGATTGCCATTCGCCTGTGTTGTTGGCAATATGACAACCCAATTATATGTAGTTGACATTCTCCATCTGTTGACACTACCCTTCTATCAGGTAGTGCTGAATGCTATTTACCAACAGGATAACTCTAGACCATACACGGTGCACATCAGCCAACATGCCCTGCAAGGTACTGAGGTGCTTTCCTAACCGCCTTTCTTCCCCAAATCTTTCACCTATCAAATGTTGCTTATGTGGGATCCCCCCCTCCGCATTCAGAAGACGTACTGTGGCAAATGGTTAGCAGGGAATGGACATCTATCCCTCAGGAGACAATCTACATCTTCTTTGTGTCTGTAAGTAGATGTGTTGATGCTTGTATTGCCACTAATGGTGACTCTATAACTTACTGACCATATTGTATAGTTGCGGTTTTATAAGTGCATCGTGTTGTAATAAACATCACTTATTGTTTGTTGCAGTGTCTCTTTGCTGATTTTCATCACTTTCTGTGCATGCATTCATGGTTGTGTATTTTCACTGTCGCATAGTGTATGCGCACACTGTTAAGTAGCTAAAACATTTATATCAAAAATGTATGCAAATGAAAAGAGATGTTTGTTTATATATGTGATCAAAGAAACTGTTTTGTAAAGTAAGGGAGTATATTAATAAATAATATCTTTCCAGTTAAACTTGTACCACCTTCAAAACCAGAAGTAACACGATTATCAAATACTTCTGTCATGGTGAGATGGGGTGTTCCTCGAAATGATGGACTTCCTATTTTATTCTTCAAAGTCCAGTACAAGGAAGTTGGAAGGAGGAAAACTGACTGGATGACTATTGATGAAGATATAGCTGCACATATTCACTCGTACGCAGTTACAAACTTGAGAGTGGGTAAGAATTCAAAAGGAAATTTTTTTATAGTATTAAAGCTGTACATCAAGCTCTTGAGTAAATATTTGCTTTAAAAAACAGCATTGCATTAAAAAAGGGCAGTAGTGTCTGCATTAGGAAAAAGATATACACACACACATATATATATATATGACACACACACACACACATATATAAAACATATAAATAGTATATAAAAATATGAAGTTATAAAAGTAAATAAAATATAAATTGTAATGATTCCATTTAAGATCTTATTTTCAAAACATATGAATAAAATCTAAAGTTATATAAAATTACTTTTATGCATTTTTGATAATTTGGTGAACTTAATATTATGCATGAGATCCCTATATTTTAAGGGTCATTCCTTATTAATTTTGGCACTGTACAAATATTTTTTAAATATGTTAAAATAATTTGCATTTTAAAGCAATTTTTTTCATTCTAGGTGGCAACTATCGATTTCGTATAGCAGCAGTCTACTCAAATAATGACAATAAATCTGGTCCTGTCTCTGATAAGTTTGTTTTGTCAAAGGATACACCTATGGAAAAACCATCTGTTGCACCTATGATTACATTTGCAGAAGCAGCAAGTCCATCTGCTATAACACTACATTGGGAGGTTAGTAGACTTTGTTGAATCAGTCGCTTTTTTCGTGAAGTGAAATCATTACTGTAATACACTGAACCTTCTCTTGGCAACCAATTTCCATAGATAGCCTTTCTTAAAACTCACTGGTATTTCAAAAAATTTGAATAAACATCAATGCTGATTCATTACATTTTATTATTCTTATTCTTCTTCTTATTATTATTATTTATTTCTGGCTTGTTGGAGGGGAGGCTAATTATGCGCAATGTAATTTTTTTTCCGAGATAAAATTTTCCTAAATATTTAAAAGTAAATTTCTGAATTGTACATTATTCAGGCAGGCTAATTACCTTTTAAATTTCTTGAGAAATCAATCATCTGATGAAAATGTCACAGCAAATATATCCATTTATTTATTTTTAAATAATTATATATATTTATATATAATATGAAAGAAAACTAACAACTTTAAATTAGCAATAGTCATTTTAATTTGGCTCTCTCTTCTTTCTGTCCTAAGGGCAGACATGGTTTATAATAACTTTCAGGATTGCATTTTTCAAAATTAATCTCTTTCATACTTATGTAATCCTCCTGCAATGCGGCAGCTCTTACCCAATCACAGATCAAAATTTCAACAAAAAACCAAGTTTATAAATATTGCTGCTACTAGATGTGCAGTCACCCCTCCCCAAACTTTGCTTGCCACTACCAACATGTGCTTCTCATTGCTGTGCTTTGTCCATCATTTAAAGATGTAAATAGTTATATTAAATTGTGGGATGCATAGCACACATATAATGATGATTTGTGAACCTGTTTATGTTTATTGGGGGATTGTTTTATTGCAAAATAAAACCTGTTGAATCAACAGCCATGTCTGAAAGTTATTCTTCTCCATTATGTCATCTTATGTATCTAAACAACCTTCAAATCCTCAAATTATCTACAAAATTATTACAATTAATGGAAATAGTTACAGCAGTGATAAACATCTTGTCTTTAACAACTACCTCCCTAATAATTTTATTATATATATATAAATAAAGAAATAATTTAGAATACAAGAGAAGTCACAAATAATTTTAATTATGCCGAGTGTTTGGCTTGTAAAATGCACAGTAGCGTAGTTGCACTCAGTTACAGCTTTTAATGACTAGCCAACACACTTATTTCTGGACAAAGCAAATTTTAGAAACATATTCTCATTTATGTATCATTATGAGCTCATCAGCACCTATTTTTCTTTACACTCTTTACCTTTTCACAAATTTAATCCTTATCATAAATTTAATATTACCTTATAAATTTAATACAGTGGTGCTAAATATAACACATTCAAAAGACTAAAAATTAAATTTTGGAATTTTTTGCGATGTTGAAGATTCTAAGATTCAAAGATAAATTTGGTATTTATAAGTTTTATAATATTGGACATTTCTTTTGTTTGGTACTGAATAAAAGATGGGCTTTTAAAATTCTTAGAAAATAAAAGGTAAAAAGGCTTACCTTTTAGTCGATCTTCTTTCTAATCCAAAGGCATATCCGGGAGTGTTTATTTCATTCATCGATGCACTACTCACAGAAAGAGAGAGGCTTCTAAGATAATAAGATATTTAATTTACAATCACATCACTAAACTAAAATATATAGTATATAACACAGAAGAGTAGGATTACATGTTTCACTCAAACGTCCATCACGAGTTCTCAAAGTTCAGTTAAAAAAGTTTTAGTTTAATGTTTTAGTTTTTGCTGCACACATGCGCAAATCACGTGGTTGTCGGTGAGAGTTTCAACATACTCCCAGCTTTAAATTTGCTGAAAAATCAAATTTAAAACTGTAACATTTGAACAGGCTTTACCATTCGACCAGTTCTTGTAATCATCGATGGAATCTTTTCGCTATTAAGATCTTGAGGCAAGTCATTACGAATATCAGGATCGCAGTAAGTCTCTGGTTCACCAGAAGAGCTGCTTGCCACATTTCTAAATCTAGACTGTTCATCTGATGATGTTATCTCCAAAGGATACAAACACTTGGTTGGTCGCAAAACTTCTCCAAGCTTAGTCTTGACCTTAACTAAACGCACATGTCCATCCCGAGATTTGAAAATCCTCGGTTACTTTCGCCAATATCCAGTCTGTTCGCTTCTTATTATCATCGGACACTAAAACAAGATCTCCTATTTTCAGAGGTTGTGAAGCTTTTACATGTTCATAATTTTGCTGTAACTGTCCGAGATATTCGATTCGAAATCTTTTACTTAGATCTTGTAAAAGTTTTGTTGATAAATAAGCCTTTTGTTTAAAGATTTCGCATTTATATTATCCAGATCAGGAACTCCAATTTGTTGAATCTCATGGAGAAACATGGAAGGTGTGATCGGAGATAAATCTTCAACATCTTCCGAGACATATGTCAATGGACGATTATTCGTTATTGTTTCACAGTCACACAAAATTGTTATCATTTCTTCATGATTCAGAGATGATCGTCCTAAAACTTTGCGAAGGATTCTTTTCAGGACTCCTATTAATCGCTCCCACCATCCTCCCCACCAGGGAGCTGATGGCGGAAGAAATTTCCATGTAATTCTGTGGATACTAGCTTATTCTAAGATTTTATCCCAATTTAAGCTTTTGAATAATCTATCACTTCCTTTGAAATTCGTTCCATTGTCGGAATAGATGGTGTGGGGTCTTCCACGTCTAGCAATGAAACGTCTCGGTGCTTGCAGAAAACTTTCAGTTGATAGCGAGAAAATCAATTCCAAATGTACTGCGCGAAAAACAGCACAGGTAAAAATCACTATCCATGATTTTTGATTTCCCTTCAATATCAACGATCCAGTCAAGTCAACACCTACAATCTCAAAGACTGCTGCTTCTCTTACTCAGTCTTCAGGGAGAGCAGCAATGGGTGTTTTCAAAGAATTAGTATCGAACCTCTGACATACAACACAGCTTCTTATGACTTTCTTGACAGTCTTTCGTGTTTTCAAAATCCAATATTGTTCTCATAAAGCAGATATTAAAAATTGTACTCCTGCATGATTGTTCATTTCATGTTTAGCTCTAATTAATTTTACTACAATAGGATGATCTGAAGGAAGAATAATAGGAAACTCGAAAATTTTCTGCATCATCTCTTCTCAGAATTCTGGTTTTAACCCTAAGGATTCTGTTAGAATCAATCATTGGTTGAAGTATACACGTAATCTTTTGTCATCTAATCCAGAAAATGATTTGCTGTGCACTAATCTCAAAAGAGTTAAGTTCGGCTCCTCCTTTAATTTCTTCCGCTGTAATTGTTCCAAAAGTTCTATCATTAGGACTTAGTCTGACATTTTTAACAAAATGGAAGATCCAAGATATTATCTTTAGAATGGTATTGTACGAAGAAATCTTATCAAAATTAACTTCAGTCATAGCATTCGAATTAACTGCAGAAATTATTGTCTTCTTTCTTTCAGCATTTATAATGTCAAAATTCAGTACAATTTCAGAGGTAGGCTATTTTTCTGGAATCATTTCTCAACCAATCGGGACCCTCCCACCATTTCTATTTGACTAAGGTTTCCGGACTGCATCCTCGGGAAGGGAGGTCAGCTGGATTTAGTGTTCCAGGAATATAATTCCAGTCGTTTGGATTACTTAGAGTACGGATTTCTTTCACTCTATTGTGAACGAAAACGGCCCGGTTTTCATTCTTTTTTATCCAAAATAATGCATCCATAGAATCACTCCAATAATAAATAGGCAAGCTTTCTAGTCTCAAATCTTCCTTAACACGATGTGCTAGTCTAGCACCAATCGTACAAGCTAAGAGCTCTAGTCGTGGTATGGAAATCGGCTTGATAGGTGCCACTCTGGATCAAGCTGAGCTGACATGTAACGGAATTTTCATTACAGCTTCGCATAAATATGCATGTGGCATAAGTCACGATTTAACTCGCGTCACAAAAAATCGAATAAGATAAAGATAAATCGGAAATTCTTTCGGAGTCAGCAAAAATTCTTCTGGGTATAGCTATTTTTTCCAAATTGTGCAATTTATTTTTCCAACTTTCAAATTTGTCAGAAATGCTTTTAGGTAAATTGTTATCCCATGAAATCTACTGTTTCCAGCATTCTTGAAGCATTAGCTTAGGAATCAGAGTAACAGGAGCTGTAAAACCCAATCGAATCAAAAATCCTGTGTACTATTGACAATATATTCCTTTTGTTGACAGGCTGTTTCACAGAACTATCTTTAAAGTCACAAGGACAAAGTCATTCATTTCTTAAATCAAATTTCCATTTTCAATTTATCATAATCGCTGGCCACACAATTGTCGACGTACATTGATTCACTTAATTTCTTAGCTACCTCTTGTTGATGTTCAGGAACATTCTCGAGATGATAATTCAGTGTGGCGGCGAGAGAAAAAAAGGACTGCCATTAACGCCAAACACAACGCGCGCTTATGTCGATATATTTTAAATTTTTCGGAATCTCCTTCTTCCCACCAGAGAAATCTAAGAAAGTCTCTATCTCGAGAGACAGACACCTATTTGCAAAAAGGCCTTACATATATCTGAGATAACCCCGTATTTACCTAGGCGAAATCTGTTTAAAATACTCGGTATTAATTCCAAATAATTTGGGCCCTTTTCTAAACAGTCATTTAAGGACACACCATTCCTTTCCTTCGCTGAGGCATCGAACACAGGTCTAATCTTTGTGGTTGAACTTTGCTTAATTACAGCCCTATGTGGTAGGTTAATGACAATTTTTGGTTTTCTTATCTTCAACAGATTCTATAATACCTTTTTCAGCCCATTTGCTAAAAATATTTTCATACTCTTTCAGACAGTTTTTTGACTGAAGATTTTTGATGCAGGATTTTAACCTTTTCTCTGCTAATAATCTGTTGTCAGGTAAAACCTCATGCCCTTCTAACCAAGGAAGAGAGACCTGATATCTACCCTCACTATCTCTCTTTAATGACTGACGAAAATATGTTTTAGCGATTTCATTAATTTCCTTTCTTGTGTGGGTTGTAGCAGGATCCGTTATTCCTAACGAGTCAAGACACCATAAATCCGAAATTTTAGCATCATTAACATGAAGTGACAATACAGTTTTCGTACTGTCAGAGAACTCACGCTTTTCAGTTTTTCCCATCATTGTCCATCCTAATCTAGTGTGTACGCATGATAACCCACATTTTAGTTGTCTAACCTTCCCTGTTAGAAGCTTTCCTGCCACATCTGCACCTAAAAGAACATGAATTTTTAAAGGTGATTTTTCATACATCAAATCAAAGATTTATTCTGCATGTCAGTTAAATAAATTCCATGTTTTCGCAGTTCAATAAGATATGTATCTCTACGAATTTGAGGAATGTCAGTACATATTTTATCCTGATCCAAAACCTGAAAATTACAGTGATAATCACCTTTAAGACTACTCAATCTAATTAAATATTTACTATGAGTTTCTTTTCAATTCCTCCGAACAAACCATGGATTAATTCTTCTTTACCACTTGTTTTATAATTCATTATACTAACTGCATACTTCGAAATGTAGGATCGCTGGGAACCACTATCTATTAAAATTCTCACATATTTTTCGATCCCATCCCCACGAAGTTTTAATATTAAAGTTTGCAAATTTACTAACTGCATGCAAGATTTATTTGTCAGAACACAGTCTTTTTTATTATTTTCATCCCCAATAATGTCTGTAGAATTATTTCCGTGAGAGTTGCACATTATTGACAAATGAGCTTTACCGCATATGGAACATTTAACTTTGGTTTTGCATAAGCGGGAAATATGGTTCCGTTTCAAACATTTAAAACAGAATCCGTGATTCAGCAATTTTTGCTTTTTTTCATCTAAGGTTAAACGACTCGCATTCCGACATTCATAACTTTCATGATCTGAATCGCAAAATATGCAGTTTGAATGTTTATAATTTTGATTCTCATTTGTAGACAGCAACTGCGAGGCAGACGATACATCTGGTACCCGTTTATCATGCCAAGTTGACAGCTTGCTTTCGCGTTTTGTTTGTCGGGGGGGGGGTTGTATGAGGAGAAATTGACGGTGCTTCTTTCGATTGCAAAGCTTTTCCCTTGCAATTAATTGCTGAGAAAGAAATTCCACTAGGTGATTCAAATCGTAATTTTATTTTCGAAGTGTTTTATTATATTCCAAAACCAAATCTGCAGGCAATGTTTTAAGCAAAATAGGTGTTAATGCTCCATATGTTTCTGAGGTCATATTTAATGATTCAAGACATCGAATATGTTTTTGTATGTAATTGAATAACTTTTAATTGGAAATTTTGAATGTCATTAGAATCCTTTAGAGGTCTTATTTTCAGTAATTTGTCTATATGGGCGTTTAGTAGTACATCTTTATTTCCAAATCTTTCTGTGAGGAGTTTAACTGAAGTTTCGTAATTTTCTTCGGTTAAATCGAAACCGTCAATGGTGTTATAAACATTACCTCCCAAAAAGGATTTCAAATAATTAAATTTGCTTATAGCGTCAAGCGTTTTATTTTGGTGTATGGCTAATGAAAAAGTGTTCCAAAATGTCAGCCATTCGCAGCTCTCGCCATAAAACTTCGGAATCGTAAGTTTAGGAAGCTTCACATTATGATTTTCGCTTTTAATGTTTTCTATAATACTTAACTGTTCAGTGCTTCTTAACACACTAAATTTTTGTTGTTCTATATTAATTTCTTTCAATTTTTTGTTAGCTTTGTATTTAAATGTAGTTATTCTTTCACGATATTCGTCAACACCGTTTAATTCCTGGTCTAGATCCTTTATGTCTATTAATTTTTCTATATATCGGCATCTATTTGCTTTAACTCGATCGATTTTTCATTTAAGAGTTCTAAGGAAATTTCTAGTTCCTCTGCATTCACTTCTGTTTTTGATTATTCAGTTTCGATTCAGCCAACTAATTTTGTAACGGCAGCCCTTATGTGGCCGCGTTTCCTTTTCAATGTATCGATGAATTCTGTCATTGTTTTATATATTCAATAATTCAACAAGTATCAACAATTTGCTTTCATTCGCGGTACGGGATGCCAAAAAATGTGTAATCATAATAATTTCTTAGAAAATAAAAGGTAAAAAGGCTTACCTTTTAGTCGATCTTCTTTTTCTAATCCAAAGGCGTATCGGAGTGTTTTATTTCATTCATCGATGCACTACTCACAGAAAGAGAGAGGCTTCTAAGATAATAAGATATTTGATTTACAATCACATCACTAAACTAAAATATATATATAACGCAGAAGAGTAGGATTACATGTTTCACTCAAACGTCCATCACGAGTTTTCAAAGTTCAGTTAAAAAAAGTTCTGTTTTAGGTTTTTGCTGTGCGCATGCGCAAATCACGTGGTTGTCGGTGAGAGTTTCAACAGGGCTACTGCCAATTAAAAATTCATAAATCTGCTCTACATACCTTTTTATCTGACATGTTTACACTGAGTGTTATGAAATTTTTATTTAATATCGTTTTTCATTTGTTAATTTTTCCCTCTTAAAATCTGTCCTTTCAGTACAATGATATGGATTCTGTACCTACAGAGGGCTTTTTCATACACTATCGTGCTACTCATACTGCTGGCAAATACTTGAAAGTTACTGTATTGGGGGCTAATACCAGATCTCATATTATTTCACATCTTTTACCTGATACTGGTTATGACATTAAAATGCAAGCCTTCAATGATGCTGGGCCTTCTGATTTTTCTAATATTTATACTTGCAAAACAAAAGGTACGTATTTGATTATTATCCTTAAGAAAAGGTTCAAGTATTTTATTCTTTCTAATATTAGCAATGCATCTTATATGCAATGCATTATTAATGCAATGTGTTATTCAGATATATTATCCTTAAGGAAAGGTTCAAATATATTATTCTTTCTATATTAGCAATGTATCTTATATGCAACGTATTGCATTAATAATGCATTGCATATACATTTTCAATTTCTTCTTGGAAAATTGTAATTTTAATAGGAGTTTGAAAATAATCTTATGCATGTTAGAAATGTCACTGATTATTATTTTCTTAAGTATTTTTGAAGTTGTAGATATGCTGTATTTTTTACCGGTGGTAGGCAATAGAAAAATAGGTGGTACACAAAGAAAAAAGTATTTTTTAACTATTAAACACCCCAACATCCTGTTAAAGTTTTTTCTCTTAACATTCATAAATTTATGCAATCTGAACTTTGTTCAAGGTCAAATTCTTTTAGAGTTCATCAATTTATTAGCATGCACTTTATTATGCCCCCATTTCGGGACTCATATTGCTCTATTTTCAATTAGAATTTTTTTTTAATTTTATTTTTTAAATGTTGACTTGCTGTCTCTAACAGCAAAGCAAATATTTTGTCTTCTTGTAGCATTGTTAACCTTACTTTTATATTGAGAATATTGTTGTCTGTTTTTGAAGAACTTCTAATATATTATGCATTTAAATATTTGTGAAAAATAATAAAACAGACCTAGATTTTCAACATGGCAAAATGGCTAGGATTGACTAAGCAGAAAAGTGATGATTCACAGGTGATGAATCCAGGACAGTCAGGGCTTAATTTCTAAGATTAGAAGTGCCGGAGCCCTATGGAAGACCGTCAGCAAAGAGGAACAAGAGTAAATAAATAAATAAAATGACTAAACTCATTAATAATTTTAAAATTAAATAGTTAATTATTATCCAGTTAATAATTGTTTAATTAATGTATCTAAATTGTTATTTAATCATTAAGTATTGTATAATTAATAAATTATAATTTAATTGATAATTATTAGATAATTAATTATTATTTATTGAAATGATTGAAGATTGAAATGAATAAAATAAAATGTACAGAGATAAATTGAAATTTTATAAGCGATTTTTAATATAATTTTATTGTTAAAATAAAATTTTTGAGATAAAATTTCTACTAAAAGTGTTATTCAGTTACATAAAAGAAGAGCTGCAGCCTTCTTATTCAGTGCTCCGGTGCGTTCCGGCTAGAATTGTGATTTATTACAGAAACTAAGAAGCACCGGAGCCAATATCTAGTGGGCTCCGGCCCAATTTTTAAGCTCTGATCGTAGGGGTGGGGGAAGTTCTTTTATCATCACAAAAATTAAATATGCTTAAAGCATATTTGATGAAAATTCCAGGGCAAAACAGAATAAGGGTATGAGTGGGTGGAAACAAAAAATGAGGGTAATATTGGTGATAGAGAACGTTCTCTTTGACCGCGGCTCTCTGCTGATATAATTATAGCCATCAAGCAGATGTGTATCGGGTAAAATGAGTCCTGAATCTGACTCCTAAGGATGAATGCAAAGTTGCTGGTTACGCTTTCCCCTCCATTAGTGGATACTGTGGGAAGACGATGTATAGGATGTGCTTGAGTAGTTCATTTCAGTATTTCACTCTTATTGTACCTGCTGTCACTTAACGCACATTTAAGAACACAAATTTTCCTTCCTGAGAGGGTAACTAACTGTAAACATCGATAACAATATACTAGATACGATGGCATGGCGAGAAATTTACGCGTTCCTAAACAAACTCCCCCAAATTTTTTATTGCTCTTCTTAAAGGGAAAGATTTCCGCATGTGAGTGAGGGGACTTTACTTGAATGTCTCATGTTTTCATGAGTTCATATTTCTAGGGAAATAGAGTATTGCAAGGTCTGCTTATTGTTAGACTTAAACGTTAGGAATTCTAAATTTTTTCCTTTTAAATTGTGGTTCAGTTTTATAAAAAGAAGTATTGGAGCTCATCTTATTTAGGGCTCCGGTGCACTCCGTCTAAAATTGTAATTTATCTTAAAAATTGAGAAGTACCGGAGCTGGGCTCCGGTGGGTTCCGGCAATTTAAGCACTGAGGACAATCTATAGCACTAAGAATGCTGAAAAGGAAAGAAAAATTGTGTATAGAAAATGAAATGAAAGTTATTTATCATTGGGTTTACTTGGAATGGAGATGAAATGCACCCTCAACTTCAATGTGTTGTTTGCAGTGAGCTGTTATCCAACCAAAGTATAAAACCATCATCTCTTAAAAGACATCTTGAATCTAAGACTGGGCAGGCTACTATTGGAAAAAACAGTGATCCCTCGTTTTTCGCGGTTAGTGGAGACCAGAACCTTCTGCGAAAGTTGAAAAACCGCGAAGTAGGATTTGCCCCTAGGAATTTTCGTGTATGCGGTTACAAGAATGTTTTAAATATGTAAAAATTATTTATGCTTTACACATTTAAGACAAAAATTACAACAGTATACATATTTACTTAAACATGTCAGTACTAATTAATAAGGTTAATTACAAAACCTTATACAGTAATAAACATTAATCGGCATTGCTTTTTGAAAGAGGCGAAGAGTCTTGTGTTGGTGGTGGAGGAGAGGCTCTCACTTGACTCATAGAAGCTTTTCCTTGAAGGAAGGATCTCACTCGAGCTCACTCAGAGGCTGTTCTGCTGGAGGCACTGATGGTAGAGCTGGAGGCTTTTCCTTGAAGATTATACCCTGTACAAGGATATAACCCCGTCAACGCAATTGCTGAACTCGACAGCTCGAACCATATTGTCGTCAATGTCTTGTGCAAATTGTTGCATCGCTCTTGCCATGTTGCATAATTGTTGCAGATTCTCCAGGGAAAGGCCATGCTTTTCAGTTTCTTCTTCGTCTTCCTCTTCGTTTTCTTCCTCACTTGCAGACTTTGTCATCTCAAGGAGGTCTTCATCGGTCAGTGGGTCTGAGTGGCAATCGATAAGGGCGTTGATGTCTTCTTTTGTCATGTCGAGAAATCCTTCATTCCTTATGATGTGAGGCCTCACCGCCTTCTCCACCGCTGAGTGATGAACTTCTTTAGGAGTGAAGCCTGGATAGTTGTGCACCACGTTTGCCATAATTTCTTCCAGCTAGAATTTAGGGTCTCACTCTTTATTCCTTTAATGCTCGCTGAATATTAGACAAACATGAGGCAATGTCGTAACTGCACCAGTAGGCTTTCAAGGTGAATTCGTCATTGGCATCGTCAACTGCCCAGATAAGGCCCTCATGGAGCGAGTGTAGAGTGCCTTAAAGGCATGAATGACATCTTGATCCATCGGCTGAATTAGAGATGTAGTGTTCGGGGGCAAAAACTCTTATCTGCACACCGTCATATTGCAGGTCCGTTGCATGGCCTCCTGCACAGTCCATCAGGAGAAGGACCTTAAGGGAGAGGCTCTTTCCAGCCAGATACAGCTTCACCTGGGGAATGAAGCAATGGTGGAACCATTCAAGGGTCAGAGCTTTCGTTATTCAGGCCTTTGAGTTATGCATCCAGAACTCGGGCAATATTTTTGCAACTAGAGCCATATTTTTGTTTATAATGCCCGTGGATTTTTGTCATTATAAATAAGGTCTATTGCATAAAACCTGCAGCATTGCCAGCCATGATGACAGTCACGTGGTCTTTGTGAGCCTTGAAGCGTGGCCTCTTCACTTCTTCCTTGAAGAGGAATGTATGCGAAGGCATCTTATTCCAAAAAAGGCATGTTTGATCCATGTTGTAAACTTGTTCAGGGAGGTAGCCTCCCTTACTGATGAGGTTAAGAAACTCTTCCTCCACATAACGACAAGCGGCATCGTTGTCAGCAGAGAAAGCCTCACCATACAGAAGTATGTTTCGGAGACCGCATTTTTTAAAAAATTTTCCGAACCAGCCTTTGCTGGCTGAAAGGCCTCGTCCTTGAGGAGACAAATCATTCCTGGCAGCACTATTACTGGCCTGAGGCTTGTCAGCACCTTCTTAAGCCTCTTCATTGTCATCATCAGGCAAGATTTGGTCATAGAGAGCTTTGGCTTTTGTCCTGATCATATTAGTGTCCACACTCGCTGTCTTTTTCCTGCAATCAGAAATCTACAATGCCAGTGCAGCTTCCATTTTCACAATTCTGTTATCATGCGGAGTTACCATACATTTCGCTTCTTTATTGAAGCAGTTTTGCGGATGTTTGCTTCTTCTTTCTCGATGTACTGCATTGTAGATTCATTCACCCTGTAATGGCGTGCCACAGATGCATAATTTCTGTCCTCTTTGATCATATCTAAAAGTTTCACATTTTCGCTGATGATCATCATCTTCTTCATCTTGCGTGCCTCGGAGGAAGCTTTCGCAGGAGCACAGTGCTTAGGCGGCATTATAAGGGCTTAATTAATAAAAAAATTATTGGTTAAACAAAAAAAGTTACCACCAACACAACACTAATATACAGTATGCGAGACAGTCAACATCATGGACAAGACTGTCAAGATACAATAGAATATGCTAGGTGAGGCTGCGATGCTTCGCAGACAATCAAGTCACGGGTAAATCCACTCGTACTCTCATTGGTCGATGTCGCACCGGAAACCAATCACGCGCCTTTATGAGAGCCCAGGGTATGTACTCAGAGTCAATTCATCTCTTTGTTTGACACGCAGAGATCCTTTTCTCTCGCGCATCAACATGAAACAAGGCTCCTTTCCGCAATGTGGCTGTCGACATGGTTATATTTTTTCTCTTTTATTTTTTGATGAATATTTTGGAAAAACCCGCAAAGCACTGAAGTCGCAAAACATGAAGCGCGAAGTGGCGAGGGAACACTGTATTACCAGCAGCTAAAGATACTGTATTAATATTACTCAACGAAAAAGCAGTTAATGAACTTAATATTCTGTTATCCAATGATACAGTAAGTTGACGAATTCATGAAATGGCAAATTCCATAAAAGAGACACTTATTCAAAAAATAAAACACAGTATTTTGCATTACAATTGGATAAAAGTACTGATATAAATAACTTTTTTTCAGTTATTAGTTTAGATAAGTTTCAAAGAAGATAAATGAATTGCTAAAGAGTATTTATTTTGTGAATCTCTTCATGATAGAGTGACTACAAATGAAATTTTCATAGTAGTTAACAATTTTATATCTGAGATTGAATGATATTCCTTGGAATAAGTGCATTGCTATATGAAGTAATGGAGCTCAGGCTTTAACAAGAAAACATTCCAGTGTTACTTCTCAAAGAAAGAAAGTCACACCTGAAACTAAATTTATCCACTGCTTCATTCATCATGAAGCATTAGTAGGCAAAACAGTGCCCGAAAACCTGAAAACTGAGCTTTAAGTTCAGGAATATTTATGATTTTATGCCAAGAGAAACATGAAACACTTTTGTTACATTCCGAAGTAAGGTGTTTATCCAGAGGCAAAGTTTTAAATTGTCTTTTTAAACTTTGATCAGAAATTCAAAATTTCTTCTGTGATTCAAAATTGTTTATTTAGTGAATATTGGTTGGTGTTTTTAGCATATTTAGCTGATATTTTTGGAAAGTTAAATGAATTAAATTTATTGCTACAAGGACAAAGTGTTAATTTGTTTACCATTAGAGATAAAATTAATGGAATGATTTAAAAAGTATTCAAGCTAATAATCAAAGAATTAAATAATAATATCTTAAGCTTTTTATCACTTTCAGAAAGTTTTCTAACCAAAAATAATTTCAAAATAAAAGAAGAATTAGCATCCGACATTAGAAACTATTGTTTTTCATTGATGAACAGTTTCAACATGTATTTTGTCGAGGATTGTGAAAAAGAAAATTGTGTTAGAAATCCATTTTGTTCAAATTTACCTGAAATTTTATCTCGTAAAGAAAAAGAACAATTGACAGAAATTTTCTGTGATCAAACTCTAACTGAAGATTTAAAAAATAACACACTTTTTAACTTTTGGCTGAACCGAAAAAAGAATGTAAAGGCATTTCAAATAAAGCTGTTAAATTTTTATTGTCTTTTTACACAACCTATTTTTGTGAACAAGGATTTCATTCCATGTTATATTTGAAAAATAAATAAATAAATACAGAACAAAATTAAAAGTGGATTCTAATTCATGGTGAAAACTAAGTGAAATAAGACCAGAGATAAAGAAATAGATCTCTCTTAAACAGACCCAAATTTCACACTAAATTGAATTATAATTTAAATTTTGATAATTAAAATGGTAACCAATTTTTAATCTTAATATTTTTATGTGTCTGTATTTAATACAAATAGCCAATAGTCTGTGCAAATGTTAAAATATACTTTTTTTTTAAATATTTCTATTGAGGCAATGAAAAATAATCATTGTAAAATGTAGTGGTGGTACTAAAATTTTTCAGTTTTTATTTAGATGGTAAGTGTCAATAAAAAGGTTGAGAACCACTGCTCTAACTTATTCTAATGTAAACCCATTCTTTGCAGTACTGATATTAGCATGACTTTTAATAAAATGCTAAAATACAGAATTCTGATTTTTATTATACTTTCACATTTAACAATTATTGCACTTAAAATCATATTGCTGTTCTTGTATTGAATAATATTCCAGTGTTATAAATAAAAGTTTTTTTAAATTATAAATACTAATTTAATTTGTGTAGTATTACACCTTAGTTGCTATTTCTATATATGGTACGTAAGCCTTTTTCTAAAATTTATCATATTTTTCTTTTATTAGCATTCTTTAAGATCATAAATAAAATGTCAATTCAAAATATTCATACTATGTTGCTGCCTTTTTAAATCTATACATCAAACACACTTTTTTTTTTTTTTCAAATCAATAAATCACTTAAATATTAATTGGACATGAATTATGTAGGTAGATGAAAATTCAGATCTATAATCAGAATGAATTGTGAAAATTTTGGCCAAGAGTTTGCACATTATATCAAATTTTAATTGAATGTTTTAGTTTTCACCAAAAATAGAAAATGTAAATAATTATGCATGGAAATGAAACATTAAAAAATTTTTTTAATTCTTTAAAATTAAAAAAAGTCATAAAATATCACAGGAATTGCATAAAGTAAATGAGAAATTTAATTATGGAACACGATCATATGCCAGAAACTGCCACCCATTATTTCACATCAGTTGATCTCCTAGGATGTTCTAAGATTGAGTGATGATTTTTCAAAAAAAATCTTAAGATTAAATACTTTAAAGAATTTCCATTTGAGGAGACTGTCATTAAATTTAAATATGTTGTTCAATCAAAGAAAGATCTTTGTATATTTTCCAGATAATTCAACAATAAGACTAGATCACATTATCTTGACATTTTAGTTTATCTACATTGCATCTGATCAAATTTAAAGGAAATCGGACAAAACCTCAATTCTCAGGAAGATTAAGACTAACGTAAATCAAAGGATGATTATGACATAAATACTGTTTTACTTCGAATTCATTTTTTCAATTTTATAGACATACAATACTATTTTACTTCGAATTCATATATTCCATTTTATAAAAACTATGCTTTATCTACAAGCAAACAGAAAGAGCAATGGGCTTACAAATTAGAAGCAAATTTAGAAAAGGGCTCGTGTAAGCATCATAAAGCTCCACTGTTTTTGTGTTAGAAATGTAATCCACAAAGTTAGGAATGTGTGCTTTGTTTTGGCAACTCTTTTTAAAATTTGCTTAAAGAAAAAAAATCTTTGTAAGTTAATGATTATAAAATTCAGCATATATGAAAGGAAACTCTTTTGTAATTGCTTTCTTTTTCATGTAAAGATGAAGTATTAAAAGCTGTGCAATTTGTTTTTGTGGAGAAACATAAAGGGATTCAATTATATTCATCTTGCAATTCCACCACCCCTTGCACACATTTAAATGTTCAGATGCTAAATTTCAGCTTTAAAAAAAAAAGTATATTTTAGTAGAGTTAAAAATTCTGTTGCTTTTGATATTTCCTATGTAAATACTACCAGTATTTTTGTAAAACAGTAAATAAAAAATGAAAGTAAAATTAAATAATTCCTCACTCCTTGTTTTTTCAGAATCTGAAGCTTTACTCGGGATCCGCAACAGAAATAGTAAATCCCATCATACAGATGATAATGATATTTCAGTTACTGAGCCTGTTTCATCCAAAAACTCTGATGGCAATTTCATTTTGTACATAGCTTTGGGTGTTGTATCTGGTGGATTGTTGATAGCAGTGTCTGTATTTCTTGCATTGTTTATTCGTCAAAGGCAAAACAGAAATCCCAGCATAGGTAAATATTCCACAGTATTTAAAATTGAAAAGAATAGTACAATAAGTGAACTATTTTGTGTGTGCTTTTAAATCTCTCCTTTTAATGTGGCTGATCAGTAACCAAAAGAATAATACCATTAGATACCGATAGTGCAACTGGAATTAAATCCTAGCAAACTTGGCTTAGTATATGAATGATTTCTCCAAGTATAATCCAATTTGAAAAATTGCTTTGTGATTGAATGTTCCATGTTCAAATAAACAAAACAAACCACTTATTCTTTTATATATGTTTCTGAACTACCAGAATTTCTTTGAATTCATATTTCACTTTTCACTGGAGAAACAAGCTATCACTTATAGAATTCCTTTTTGATGTTAATTAATTATTTTTATAAAGTTTAACTAACAATAGTAATTGAGTAATGGTAATCGAGAGATCCAACTTCTTAGAACCAATTTGTTACAATCATAAAGGAATCAATAACATTAATTTTTAAGAATGAATTTACCATACATCCACGTATTTGTGCTTTACTTTAAATTTTTATAGTCTACCAAAAGTCAGTAGATATAATCAGAATGTCACATTTCCCATAGTTGTTCTCAAACTATCAACTTAATTCATCAATGCTGATTTAATCTTATCAAAATGTTGTTCCTTCATTTTGACAATGTAGCTAGGTATTTAGCATTAAGATAAATTAAACTTGATTAAAAAAAAAAAAAAAAAAGGAAAGAAGTTTGATTTTCCCCCCATTCATAAATAAATGATATATATTGTTACGAGACTCTACCTGAATTTTGTTCATTCAGTTGGTACTCCATTAAAAGAAACATAAAGAGAGATTTATAATTAAGTAATATGGGCAATCCACCCAATTAATTCACTATAAAACAAGCAATCTACCTTAATGCAAAATAATGGTGCATTTTTTTTTTTTTTCTACAGTTTTTTTAAATGGTACAATGTTGCCAAACCGTAAAATTTAACCTTTAAAGAAATTACATTTATACAACTGTTGAGTTGCTCGCGACATCTCCTCCCATCTTTTGATTTATGGCGGGCGGAACGTAATCAAAATACAATATACTTAATAACGGGGCTAAACAATACTTGGTATAATCATAAAAGGGAAAAAACTAGTTAAAATGCGAAGGTTTTACAATAGTTCTACCACATCTAGTTTTAATTATCTTATCAGGAGGTTTAAAGTTAATTTCTTGACTATCAGGAATGTTAAATTGGTTTTGTTTAGGTAACAACAAGTTCTCGTCGTCAATCGCTTCCAAAGGATACAATTGTTGCACAGGATGGATCAATTCACCTGCAGCTATTTTCAGCTTTGCCACTCTAACATAATTATCTTGACTCTGGAATAATTCAATAACTCGACCCAATGCCAGTCCAATCTTTTTTTGTTGTCACTTCCCACAAGTACCACATCTAAATATATTTGTCTTCGAGTAGCTTTATTACCTCTGGACTGAATTAGGAGACTCAAATGTTCGTCTCTAAAATCTTTTTCTGAGATCTTGTCATAATTTCTGTTGATATCTATATCTCTTAGTGATATTGACTTCATCTATATGGTCCAAGTCCAGAACTCCCACCATTCTTATATCCTGAATGAACATTGAGGGTGTTAAAGGCATTAAATCTTCAAAATCTTCAAACAAATAATTTAATGGTCTTGCGTTGATTACAGCTTCTGTATCACAGAGAATGGTACACAGCTCCTCATATCTCAAGCAGTTTCTTCCTAATATTCTCAAAATTTTCTTAACCATCTGAATAATACGCTGTCACCACCCACCCTTCTCGCAGCTGTGGGGGGATTGAACTTCCATGTAATCTTCAAAATAGAACATTCTCGTGCAATTTTGTTCCAATCAAGTGAAATAAAGAGGTTGTTAGTCCCGACAAAGTTTGTATCATTGTCACTATACATAGTTTTTGGTCGTCCACGTCTGGCTATGAACCTTCTGAAACCCAACAAAAAATCATTGGTGGAAAGTCCTTGTATCAGTTCAAGATGTATGGCCCTATAAACAGCATAGGTGGATAAAAGTATCTTCTTTCTATCCTTTAGATAAAGAGGTCCAGATAAATCTACTCCAGTTACTTCAAAAACCAGAGTGTCCCTATTTTCAGGCAGTGGGGCTGGAACTGTTCCGATTTTTTTTTGCATTATATCTTTTGCATCGAATGCATTTTGTGATTACCCTTTGAACTGTTTTGCGTCCTCTTAAAATCCAAAACCGTTGACGAATATCCATCAAAACAATTTGAGCTCCAGAATGTGAAAGTACTGTATGTCTTTCGAAAATTAACTTTTCTACAATTTGATGATCAGAAGGTAAAAGTATGGGACACATGAAATAATCTGTATCATCTCTTCGAAGGATTTTTGTCCTCAGCTCATTAAACCTTCTTTATCAGTGAAAATACGAGAAGAGTTTTCAACTTTGATTTTGTAGATTCGTTTTGGAAAGATTCTTTCTGAACAATTAAGAAAAGCCTTTTCTCAGCTGCTTCTATTTCCTGAACAGATAATTCTTCCTTCAGTTTGTGATTGGAATTTCTAGAATTATGAAAGAATCGCAGAATCCAAGCTGTCAGCCGAATGATTCTCGAATATTTAGAAAAACAATGCAAGTACCATTTTTTGTTAGGAGCAATTGAGGTAGCTAAGGCAGTTATTCCCTTTTTTCTTTCTTTAAAAACATCTTCCACATTTAATTTACTTTCAGAGACAGGCCAATTTTTTTCAGGCTGTTTAAGCCATGGTGGACTCTCCCTGGATCTGAGCAAAACTCCAGCGGAATATCCTTTGGATGGGAGATCAGCCGGATTGTTGCTTCCTGGAATATGCTTCCATTGTTCCTTTGATGTAAAATTTCTTATCTCCTTGACTCGATTATTTACAAATGTTCCCAGTTATCTTCATACTTGATCTAGAACATAACGGTAGAGGAGTCAGTCCAACAGGTACTTGATATTTCCTTTTAATCCATCGCTTCTTTCGCTGTTGCAGTGAGACGAGCTCCTATCAAGCATGCTAACAATTCTAATCAAGGCATTGATATCTTTGTTAAAGGAGCCACTCTACTTTTAGCTTCAATTAAATGAACTTTTACCCCCTTCTCACGTTTGGCTTCGTAGAAATACGATTGCGCTATAGGCGGACTTGCTCGCATCACATAAAGTATGAAAACTCAATTTTTCTTCCAGGAAATTGCTTTGGACATATCTTGGAATTTTGATCTCTGTCAACAGATGTAAATTTTCAAGCTGTTTATTGAACTCCAGGCGAATATCTTCTCGACAGGTTTCATCCCAACCAATCTTCAGGTTTCAGCTATTTAGTATTAACAGTTTCAAACAAATCGTTACTGGACACAGAATTCCTATAGGATCGAAGATGCTGTGAACTGTCAAAAGAATATATCTTCTAGTAATGGGTTTTTGCTTGAAATAAATTTTTTCAAGATCACAAAACAGAACATCTTTAGTTTTATCCCATAATAATCCAAGAACAGGGGACAAGTTTTTTTTTTTTTTTTTTTTTTTTTTTTTTACATTCTTCACCTATTAGACTGGAATGTTCCCAACCTCTTAAATCGAAACATCCTGTAGCCAGAATTTGTTTTGCTTCAAAAATGAATTTAAGTTCATCTTGACTAGTTACCGAATTTATGCAGTTATCCACATAGAATGCATTCCTCAGCTTTTCTACAGTTTCAGGAAAATGGCTTTCATTTTGTGCCAAATGGTAATCTAGAATGGCAGCTAGCAAGAAAGGGCTGCTCGTAAGTCCACACACTACTCGTCGGTCACGATAATTTTTTTTTCTTTCCTTATAATCTTCCCACCATATGAATCTAAGAAAATCTTGGTTTTTTTTTGGCCACAAGTATCTATAAAAAGGCCTTTTTTATATCTGAAACTACACCAATTTCTTTCTGACGAAATCTCATAAGTAATGGAGGAATTTTTTCTATAAGATTTAGTCCTGTTTCTGGACAGTCGTTGAGCAAAAGTGAGTTCTTACATCTACACGAAGCATCAAAGTATCTTCGTAGTAGAATTTCCTTTAAAAATACCTCTATGAGGCAAATAATGAAAAGGATTTCCCAATTCACTATCTGGTACTTCTTCGATGATAGTTTCCTGTAACCATACTTTAAATACAGCTTCATAGTCATCGTATTTTCCTTCTTTAAGAAGTTTCTGAATAGTAATCATGCATCTTTTTTCAGCTATATCTTTGTTTTCACTTAACGTCTCGTAGGTTTCTAACCAAGGTAGTTTGACGATGTAACGGCCATTTTCATCTCTCTGAACGGTTTTTTCGAAAATGCTGAAGAATGGACTGTTCTGTTTCTTTTTTAGTTCTTGTTTCAGTAAGATCCTTTATACCTATAGTATCTAATTTCCACAAATCAGCCACAGAAGAACTTTTAGTCAGTAAAGATGTCACTAAGTGGGATGAAGTTTCGTCAAACCTTTCTTCGGATATGTTTCGCATGATAACCCATCCTAAATAAGTTTCACATGCAATCAAATTGGATTTCAATGTACATATAAGTACCTGTTAGTATATTACCACAATAATCTGCACCTATTAACAGATCAGTATCAAGACAACCTTCTCCGTAGTCAGTGAGCCAAATTTTATTTTCTGTTAACTTTTTCTTATAAAGGTCTCTTCTCAACCGAGGAATGTTGCCACAAATGATCTGCTGATCCAGAACCTTTATGTTACAGGAGAAGTCCCCTTTCAAAGATACCAGGTTAATGCCATAAACATAATGCTCCTTTTTCTCAGTTGTCATTCTCCCAAATAGGGAGTGAATTAAGATTCTTTTTTCTGAAGGCTTCAAACTTAGTTTCTTAGCTGTTTCTTTAAGAATGTTGTGAGCCAGTGTTAACGAGTACACGTACTTGTAGCTCTTTCCCTTTAGTCTTCAGTTTCATTTGCAACGTTTGACGTAATATTTCATCAGAAGTGCATAAGTTAGATGACGTCTTCTCAAGTTCCTGTACATCACCTTTCATCTTACTTCTAGGGAGTTCTGGGCACATCAAAATCTAATGTTTTTTACTGCAAAGAACACATTTGATGTTGGACTTGCAAAATTTAGAATGATTTCCAATTTTTAAACAGACAAAACAGGCCTTTTTGTTTTTCAAAATTTCTTGTTTTTTTTTTTTTAAAAACTTGAGTTTACGTGCAGAAAAGCAATCTTTACTTTCATGCAATTTGTCACCAAATATACAAACATTTTTTCTTTTATTCTCTGTTGTTCCCGCAAACAAATCTGCTGCCGTCGGTGGATTACTAGGAATAGAACGCTGTATTTTTTCCTTCTGAAATTTGTGTTCTTTACTAACAAATCCCTTTGCTAACCAAATACATTCTTCCCCTTCAACTTCAGCTTTCAGGAACAATAATAAATTTTCTTAATTTCTCCCCATAAGCATTTTGTTCCAAAGAATCAAATTTGGTGTTAACTATAGGGTTTCTTAACCAAACTCTAAAATTGCCTTCTGGAATACACGATTCTACAAGAGGGAAAAGTATAGCTGAATATGTATCGGATGTTAAGCCTATGAACTCCAACGCTCTTAGATGTGATTCTAATTTATCATATAATTTCGACGTGTCTAATTTTCTTTTTCCTTCAGTAACAATTTTTACAACAAGAGTAATTCCTCCCTGCCGAATCTTGATTTCAAACATGCAATAGCTTTATCATAATTTTCACATGCCGGTGGGTAACTATCGACAATATCACAAGCTCTAGAGTCTTCAATCATACATTGAATTAAATATTGAAATTTATCATCTTTCACAATATTTTCATCGTCTTGCATTCTTTTGAATTGGCTCCAAAAGGCAAGCCAATCTTTGATTTCCCCGTCAGATTTCAAAAGTTTGATCTGCGATAACTTTAACTTTCATTTTTGAACAGACGAAGAATCAAAAGAACTTTCGGATTTAGAAATTCAATTTAAATACATTTCTACATTTACTTCCAGAAATTTTCATTATATTCTTCTATTATCATGTACTCGTTCTGATACTTTTTATAGTTTTTATATTCTACTAATAAAGAGCTATTTCCTGATCTATTTCAGTTAGCTGATAATAAATTCTACGTAAATTAGCAAAGTTAGAGCTAATGCTCTCTTCTTTAACATTATCTGTCTTTAATAAGTCATTCAAACCATTAAAACACTTTTGAAGTTAGCTCTTATAGGAGAGCGTTTTTTAACAAGTGATTCAATTTTCAGAATAATAGGTAATTCAAAATAATGTACCTTTAATATTATGTCCGTGTCACCATGTTACGAGACTACTTGAATTTTGTTCATTCTGTCAGTACTCCATTAAAAGAAATGTAAAGAGAGATTTATAGTTAAGTAATACAGACAATCCACCCAATAATTTCACTATAAAACAGGCAATCCACCTTAATGCAAAATCATGGTGCCTTTTTTTTTTTTTTTATTATTATTATTATTATTACTATTCTAAAATTTTTTTAAATGATACAATGTTGCCAAACCATAAAATTTAACCTTTAAAGAAATCGCATTTTTACAACTGTCGAGTTGCTCGCGACATATATGTTATGTCATTAAATAAATAACTTTCTCCCCTTCCCATAAAACATGATTATCTATTGAATAGAAGTGTTTTAAATTTTGAAATAGATTTTAGTCTTGAAAGTAGAGAGGTATGGGAAGTTTTAATCATTTAATTTTTTCTTGTAATTAATTCAGATTTTTAATGAAAATTTAAATGCAAGAGAATTGCAAAATTTTTTAGAACAGTGAAAGATAACATTATCACAGATTTTTTAGAACAATGAAAGATGGCATTATCATAGATTTGAACAAAAATATAGTTTTCACATTATTTGACATCAAATTATGCACTTTGATTTTGACAGAAGAAAATGATAAAAGGAACTTTTTGGACAAGGAAAATTTATGTATTTATTTCCTGCCTTCTTTTCTAATGAGACAGCTATTGGGCTGAGTGGATAAGATAGCGTAATTCTGATAATGTATTCCAGGTTTGGTTTTTGGAAAAATATGCTGCTGCATAGGATCTAGTTTTTTTTTTTTTTTTTTAGAAGGGCCTCTGTAATGGCATTAATTTTAAGGCAAAATAGTTTGTGCATGTTTTGCCAAGCTGTAATTTAAACAAAGGAAATTATGAAACCCAAACCCAAATTATATGCTTTAAGCTACATTAATTTAGTGACAGTATTTATTAAAATCAACACATACACATGTGTTATGTTTTGATTTTAATAACTATATAAAATTTAATGTGTATATAATTATCTGTTTTCCCCTTGCATATAAATGTATGCATTTATGTAACCAACAGATTTGAGTATAATATTTTATATAAAAAAAGTACTTTTATTTATTTTTGCAGAAGAAGAAAACCCTGATGACCCATTAAAAATTGGAAATGGTCACATTACTTCAAATGGTTATATAGCTGTTGGTAATAAAGTAAACATCAGTGTCAATCCATTATCTCATTTAGATCCAGATGATGATGATGATGATGATAAACCAGAAAATGTAAGAAAATAAAGTGGAATTTGCTTCATTTATATCTGTATTTTCAGTGGTGTGACATGCAGTTACTTTTTGCACCTTATAAAGAAAAATTTAATGATTCCAATTCTTCCCCAACTCACAGCTCATGAAAGTTTGTTGAGCTGCTTTCCCCCCCCCCAAGATATTCTTAGCTTACTAAATTAAATTCAAGCCTAAGTCTGATTTGACCTCTCCATTCTGTTAATATCCTAATTATACTAAAATTCATTTACTCACCTTATAAAGTTGAGCATACTAGACATAAATTACCATGTTTTTTAACAGTTAGCTTGTTAATTTGGGCCATTCGTTTTATTTATGATACATTGGTAAAATGCCAGTTTAAGCCATGTCTTTCCTTAAAAGTAAAATTATACTGATGAAGAACTGTTATTTTTTCTCATTCTATTGATCCTACACACACTGGCCAATGAATTAGAAATGTTTGAAATTTTCATTTGAATGCTTGCTGGGGATGAAGTATGCAAATTTTTTTTATGATGTGGGTTACACATGGTTAGAATGCTAGTATAAGTTAGATGTAAGAGTGCTTTTTACGATGAATGAAGTAAAATGGGAAAAACAACAGATCTTTCACCAATTGAAAAGGGGGTTATTATTGGTGTCTGTTTAGCAGGGGCCTTTATTTCAAAGAGAGCAAATCTCACTGGGTTTTCAAAAGCTGGAATCAGAACCCACAGTCTTTCTCTAGAAAATGCAAGTGTGGTTCGAGCACAGTTTTCCGAGAGAGTGATTGGCAAGGTCTCTGACGAATTGTACAGCAGAACAGGGACTCTACTGTGCTTCAAATGACACAGATCATCAACCAAGGTTCTTTCCCAACAGATTTCAGCTTGAACCATGCACAGAGAATGGCAGAGGATAGGAAATCACAGTGATGTGCCTGTGAGAAAAAACACTCATTTCTGCCCAGCATGCAAGAATTCATTTTCAGCTGTGTCGAGAAAGAAGACACTGGGCATCTTAGGATTAAAAACAGGTAATGTGGTCGGATGAATCGCGCTACACCTTATTTTGCACTGATGGAAAACGTCGAATTTGGCGAAAACCCCACGAAGCCATGGATCCATCTTACCTTACTAGCACTGTGCAAGAGTCTGGTTGGAGGATCATGATATGGAGCATATTCTGCTGGCATGGAAGTTATGCCCTGATGTGTCTCGAGGGTAAGCAAATGGCCATGAGATACTTAGCTATACTTGCAGATCAAGTGCACCCTGCAATGATACATTTTTACCCTGATGGCAACGGATACTTCATGGACGATAATACTACTATACATCATGCTAGAAGTGTTCAAAATTAGTTCGCTGAACATCAATCAGTGTGACTTCTAACACCTTTCCTGACCATCACATAGCTCAGATCTTAACTCCGTAGAGAATGTGTCGAATATGATGGAAAGACTCATTTGACAGCACTCTCCCCTTCCATCTACTTTTCAAGATCTAAAATGCTACATAGCCAATGCATGGTATTCTCTGGACATAAATGCACTCTAGTAGCATGTAGACTCGATGCCCAAACAAATCAGAGCAGTTACCTGTGCAAAAGGTGGTCCAGTAAAATATTGATCTTGGGTTTCTAATTCATTGGCCAGTGTGTGTAGTCTAACTATAAAATAAGTAAGTTGACTGATTTAATTTTATACAGGTACTTTACAGTTTGTTTTGTTAGTCTAACCAATCAACATATATTAATTATGATGAGTTAACAAACACACCTCAATAATATCATATGCTGTGGACTATATTTGGCCAGAGCATAGCGGATTTTGATTGCTACCTTGTAGCAGTGAGATCATTATAAGAGGGATATAAAAGTTCCTTTTACTTGACATGAGACTAACACTAGTTTTAATGCGATTTGCAATTTTTCTTAAAATTCTACAGTCAAAAAATTTTTTCTCTTTTTAATTTCTTTCTTATGATGTATGTATGTTTTTATTTGCCTTTGTATATTTATTCTTATGAATGTTTTTGAAATAAAAAGAAAAGTGATTTATAATTCAGTTGTTAGGAATGATAGAAGGGAAAGAAGTGTTTCTGGGAAGGTTTAAAAAATGGAATTACAACAATTACTGTAAAACTTTTATTGTTTTTACCACCCTGGAACCTATATACATAGCCAAGTGAGGTAGTATTTTTGGTTCAAAAATTCAATGGCTAGTTTTCAGTGAATAAGCATTAATTATAATCCCAACAATATATTTTTACTATTTTTGCAATGTCTGTGTATGTGATGATTTTTTTTTTTTTTTTTTTGTCCACAATAACTTTTAGAGCAATATGTCAATAACTCATGCTTATAGCAAAATCACATTCCAATAAAGTTAACTTTCTATAGAAAAAGGGTTAGCTATAGTTCAGACACTATAAATAATTTAAACAAACCTAAATATTATTGTAATTGAAAGAGAGAAAGGAAACAAATGTTAATTGAAAGGATTTCTATTACTACTTAGTTAAGTAGATACATGACACAATTACTTTTTTTAAATAACTGATGATTTTTGCTCACGACGGTGTCTGTCACACCTCATTGAAGTTTTGTGATAAGGAATGCAAAGCTTTTCAATACCTCTCATAAAGTGTGCTCTTTTTTTCTTCATCTGATCAATTTTTATTATAAACTCAGATTCTCCTATGCCTTTTCTAACAATAGTTTAACTTCATGCTAGTTAAAAGCTCTTTATCTTTTTCACCATCAGCTGGTGCTATAAGATCATCCAATTCTTCATTTGTCATTTTATGATTGTCATTCTCAATTAATTCTTTTAACCTCTCCTTCCTCTATTTCTGAAAATCCTTTATCACCTGTGGCTTTTGCAATTTGTACAATTTCCTTGGCTTCATTTTCAACTGATTGAAATTCTTTAAAATTGTTGACATCTTATGGCTGAAGCTGGTACAAGCAAGCAATTATTGTTGATGAATTCACTTCTTCCCATGCAAATTTAATCATTTCTATACAGTCTTATTTCTATACAGTCTACTTCCACAATTTCATTACTGTGTTGTGCTTTCCTTCATCTAGTGCTTTATTTTCAGAGGTGCAAACATAATGGTTTTTGAATGTTTTCATGATTCCTTGATCCATTGGTTAGATTAAGGAAGTGGTGTTCAATGCAAAGAAAAAAATCTTGACATACGCAATGTTATGAGGGCTTCAGCACTGTGTCCTGAGCATTGTCGAGAATCACGAAAATTTTAAATAAGATTTTGCTGTTCTAAGTAATGTTTAACTTTTTAATGAATGAATTTTTGAACCTTTCATTATAAAGGACTATCACAATGTGGCTGGTGCTCTGAAGCATACCGCATGTAATTGAAATTATTGCATTGGAAAAATTAAATTTAGACAATTAAAAGAGCATGTATAAACAAAATTGTGCTTAGCAAGTCTGCATTCTGGAAGGGTTTACTGTATAATCCATAACTTTTCAATTAAAAACTTTTAAATCAATGAAACAACTTATTAGATTTTGGCAAAAAATTATAAACTGGAAATGATACTTCATTTCAAACTCTGAACAGATTTTTCATGAAACTTTATGTATATATATATATATAATTTAAGAAAGGAGAACAAACTAAAATAAAAAAAAAACCTTAGTGGTCAAGAATTTTGCGCATTGAGCTGCAAAAATTAGAAAACAAGGTAAAAAGAATATTCTTCATGCTTTTGCTTTTAAGCAGATGTGATACTATGGTTCCAGTGAATAATTTTAACACTAAGTTAAAATAAATTGCAATTAAAAGTGTAAATACAAGATAAATTATATATATATAATCCAAAATTTCTCAAACTTAGTATTTAAGACTTGCATATGATTGAAAACAATATATTAGATTTTGATTGTATGTGATAAACTGAAAGTGGTATTTATATAAAACATGTTATTGGTGATATTCTTGCCTTATCAGATTTTTTACTCATTTTCCAGTATAAGACAGTGTTCCTCAAAATGGGAAAAAAAATTTTAGTCGTGCCAGCTACATACATATAAGTTACCCTGTGATGTGAAAAAAAGGAGGTGTAATATCTTCATTCTGAAGTGTTGAGTCATTTAATTCATAGTAGTTGTCTTTTGATTATTTATTGAAAACAATAACAACATGATTGAAACAGGGTTGCCACGCTACCTGGAAAACTGGGAAAACCGGAAAAAGTCAGGGAATTCGGAAATTGACCAAAAAATTCAGGGAAACGTCAGGGAATTTAAGTGTTTTAGTCAAAATTTGGAAAAGTCAGGGAATTTCATACAACGATCCCACCAAAAAAAGGCGAGTTTTGCGCCGACGTCAGAAGAGATAACTTTTTTGGCGAATTGTGTATCATGTGAGTGTCATTCGGGCAGCTGGCATAGAGCCGATTTTCGCAGCTCCAATTTGATTGTCTTTTTAGAAAGGCAAGCAAGTTTCCCGCAACTTTTGGTTTCTAGTAACCTCGAGAATCGCATGTGCAGTGCATGAACTAAAGAAAGTACCTGTTCTCGTATAAAACAAAATGGGTTTAATCCTAGTATACGGTACCATGAAGGTTAGAATTTAAAAAATATATATTGTAAAGAAGGAAAACCTCCCTGCAACAAACGTGGCTCGGTTCCATCATAGCGGGAAATCGCTGTGCATGCGCAGTATAGTATCTGTCGCCAAAGCTCGAAACCGATGTCGAAGTTCGAAGGTCATGTTATCAAGAGTTCATAAAATGAATATCGTTTAAAATGTCTTTAAACTCTAAAGGAAAAGAAAATATTTTTTGGCGCAAGTAAATTAACTCATGGATTAGTTATTTTGACGGGGGGGGGGGAATCTACGAAAATCTTTTTTTTAAATTATTGCGAAAAATCCAAGAAAAAACGTTCTTTGATAAAACGTTTCTTCTTGGATTTTTCACGATAATTTAAAAACGGATTTTCGTAGTTTTCTTTTTTGTCAAAGAACGTTTCTTCTTAACAC